ACATATTTCTTTTAGTCTGTAAATAATCAACATATTTACTGATTACTGAAACAGTTAAAACATATAGGACTGAAATTTTTTTACATTTTCATCCAAGGTACTTTCATATACTTCAAAAGTATAGCATTCATTTACAAGCGATTGACTCTTGACACGATGTTATATACATATTTAATGCTGATAATATGAGCTCAACAATACAGTCCATTAACTGACAAGAAAAATCTCATGACACTAATAAAATATACAACCTATTTTTAAAACTTTGTATAAATTCTATTGGTTAATCACCTTCACCCAAAGTAGAATTTAAAAAATTGTAAGAAAGATGAGCTTATTTCAAGGATACATATGAAACATAGACGATCAAAGAGCATTGAATATAATTATTAGCATTTGATCAAAATCTAATAGTCCAGAGTAAGTAAATTTTTATACCACGAGAAAAGTGTGTAAATTACAGATAAGAAGCTAAAGTGTATACATCGTATCACAATTCTAATTAATAAAAAGGCTTAAATAAATTTCAGATCTCTATCAATGTACGTAATTTACATTCACTAGTATGTAGAACTAATTATAGCTAGTTGATATTTTATGCCTAACACAATATATATGGTCCGAAGTTTATTTTATATAAGTAGTAGTTGTTTGTTTGTTATCATAAATGAAACTAAATGAAGATTCGATTTTAAAAAAAATTCATTGTATATTTCTTTAAACAAACAAACGAACAAACAAAACACTTAGGAAATATCATTTCAATATGCTTCCAGTCTATAACTTACTTTGTACAAGCAAAGTGTATACAGGAAAAAAAATAGTTTAATATATACATTGAATGTTCATTTGTAAATTAAAAGAAACCCTACAAAATAATTTTTACTTTGTCAAATGTGGGTTCTTTTAATGGATTCACAGGAAATAATCAATTTATAGCAATTGAGTTGGATAATAAAAATGGATTTCTTCATCAAAGTAATGATCCATTCTTTTAAATCATTTCCATTTGTTACACATTACATTGATATTGTATTTTGTTCATACTAACTGATAATAAAAATATGTCATTACTATGAAATAGATGATCTATATTGCCTATGAGTATGTCTATAGAAATCGACTGTTAGTGGTGGAGGACAATAAGTAGAAGAAGTTTATACATATGTATGAAAAGGTATTTCCTGGAATTCTAGTGAGGAACGGTGACCAGTGGAGTTCAACTGAGTCTGTTGTGAGATAGCAACTCACTGAAGAAAATGGTAGACTGTGACTCGATTTCGTGGATTGGTTGAAGAGAGACATTAACAGCGTTGGATACCGGCTGTCTCAGTGTTCTAGAGGTTAAGCGTTCAGGCTCGCGATTGACAGATTTAGGGTTTGAATCTCGCGAGGCAAGATCGTGAACGTGCGCTGCTGAGGAGTCCCACAATAGAACGAAATGACCATTCATTGTTTCCAGGTTCCCCATGATGGCCTGGCTTCAATTTACTCATGAATTCAACTATAAAATTACTAAAATTTCAAAAACCCCTTTCCATAAAATTACTAAGTGTTTACACAATATATGTATATAGTTTTTAATCATTCATTTTCATCTTTCCGTGTTTTCTGCAGTCTGAACTGTTTTCATGTCTAGTCATCAAATTTTTCACCTGTGTCGAGTTTCCGCTGTACTAAAAATCTCTTCTCCACCTGATGATTGTTGCAGCTTAGAAGACATGATCCGTTACATACTACTTGCAAGTAATCTTAATCACTACAGTTCAGCATAGAAGTAATATAAAATTTATCACATATTATATTGATTTTAGTTTTCATTTACCATGCTGACCTACATGTATCGTTTTGCTACATTTATTTTCAGTATCCCCGCTTCATCTACTTCAAAACTTAATCTTACTCACTTGGACATTATTATTGAAATAGGATAAAAACTGTTAAAATTTGATATGATCAGAAAAGTATCTGAAATTATTTGCTAACAACTAAGAACACATGCTATGATGATAACACTTGTACTGTTCTAGCCATAGTAAAATAATATTGTTATCATGCTAATTCCGTTGTAATTTGTTCTTTTTTTCCGAATACATAATCAGTTCAGTTATGATGTATAACATAATTTCTATAACACACGCCAACTAACTGTATGACTATAGTTCTCTGTCTTTATTGTATTATTTTTCAACACACTGAATTAAAACTTATCAATTTTATTGAATTTTTAGACGTAATGAACATAAAAACAAAGTTAATGATTGTTATTTCTCAAGAGATCGCTGGTTTCTTTCAGAACATGTTACCATGATATAACACAGAAAACAAAATGTTAATCGATGGATCATTTAGTTGTGTTAATAAATGATGGATAAGTGAGCAAAAGATAAATATTATAACTCTAGATGTTAAAATTTCGGGGGGTTCTTAGTTTATGGTAGACCGAAGCATCAATGTTTTCTGTCATAATAATGTTAATGAATATTTATGTACTGTGATCTTATCGAATTCATAAATAGAACTTCTTCTGTTGAGAAAGCTTGGTTAATTTTTAAATTATGTCTACTGACAAATACACTAAATGTAATTTGCCAGTGAGAACACGAATATACTAGCCTGAAGCAATGATTCACATCAGAATCAACTAATGTAATAAGTTTGACTAAGCAATAAAACATTGATGATTAAAAGGACCATTTATTTATATGAATGAAGAAGTCAGACAAACGAATATGCAAAAGTGATACATATGTACTTGAATATTGATGTATAACATGTTAATTCTGAGATTGGATACTGTCCACTGGAATTAGTGCATTCCTATTTCCGCTACTGTTAAAGTGTTAAGTAGTATAGATAGTTTGCAAAAATTTGCCATCTCATAAGTACGTAAGAGTGGTCGGTAGTAACATTAGACATAAAAAGTAGTTATTGACCATGAAATACTTATAAAGAAATTTATTATAGGGATAAAGTTTCTCGGAATGTAATAATTTCCACAACTGCTAATGTACGTCAAAACATCTGAAATATTTCTACATCACTTTCACAATTGTCACTATATTATACTTCTTAGAACCGAGATAAATTGATTTCATCAGTCTAACGCTGTGATTAAAATGAGGAATGATGCGGCCTGAATTATTTCTGCCACTTGGAATAATTTACGATGTGAAATCTTTAGTTACCTCATTTTGAAAGATGAATATCGATCTCAACACTGGATACCTATGTTATGGTTCAAATATTGTACACGTCATTTATATGGCTTCTTAATACATCAATTTATATTCAGTCAAATTAGTGTTAAAGATGTTGTGATCAAAACGCTATACATTGAAATGTTTCCAACCTTCAGTGCTTATGTTTTCGATCACATGGTTACAATTTTATTCCGTGACAAAGCTGATGGAATTTCAAAGTTATATAATTCATATAAACCAATTATCGTAGGTGATAGAATACCACTATGTTCATTTTAATTTATTTGCAATATTAGAATTTCTGACCATAGCTAAAGCTTTTTGTATTTGCATGAAAGTTATGTATTATTTATTTGGGTCATAAATCAATAGTTTTGTCCGTGACATTTTGATCTTACAACCCTAAGTAAACTGATTTTATACAACATAGATTGACTTTTCATTCTCTTGTTGAAGTCAAAGAAATTGATAAAAACAAAGTAGTCAACTAATGCTGAAATGTCAATTTCTTCAGATCTTACTTCAAAGGACCACAAATGTTATTGGGAAATCGTTCATTAAGTGAAACAAGTTACCACATCACATAACTAGTTACATTGATCAAGTACTATGAAGTTAATCCAATTTCTCTGTTTATCATTTTTGCAGACGACCTTATTTAGGAATTTTGCTTTTCGAGCACTCTTCCATTTCGTTTTTACTTGATAGATTTAATGGCTTTTTATAATATTCAATGTGTGTTATATCCGAATTACTTATTATAAATACTTTAAGAAACGGGAAACCGCGGTAGGTCCTATGACGTGGAATACAATCAATAAGACTGGTACAAGTAAAGATTTATTAACCCCAAAACAAGATGACAACGACCACGCTCAAAAATACACTCATTGATATATATTTACTTATACACCCATTTTGATTGTTAATTAGAATAAAATCACATATATGAAAATAACTTGGATTATAAAAAATTACATGCTGGGTCTTATACAAAGCATTACTTATCTACTTACTTACTTACTTACTTACTTACTTACTTACTTACTTACGCTTGTTACTCCTAGTGGAGCATGGGCCGCCGACCAGCATATACAAAGCATAGTTCACATTAATTAGATAAATGAAACAGCACACTTAAACAATTAACGTTTCATACATTTAAGCCTTTATATCATGTTTTTTAATGAAATCAAAATATATATTCTTTGTTATTACTAGCACAAATATATAAAGACAAATAATTTAATAGTTGAATCCATGAGTCAATTTAAGCTAGATCACTAAGGAAAACCTGGAAGCATTACTAAGGCGTCCCATACTAGGACGAAAAGGCCGTCTAGTGCTTCCATGTTTTCTATGGTGATCTAGCTTTAATTGACTCATGAATTCTCCACGAAACCTCCTTCAAACAAATAATTTAGTTAAGGAATCAACATATCTATAAAATAAAATTCAGTTGTTATTGTTTACTTGAATCTTTTCATTGTTGTTTAGGACTACTATTGATCAGTTCCAGAGTCAACATCAACTCTGACATACAGGTACATCCGGCTGACGAATCTCAAATAAGACAAAACACGCGTCCTAGATTCCACTGCTAGCCAATGTTTATTCGTGCTATAGAATAAAAGTCTTTATTTTATGTCTTTAATTAAAACAATAGTATTGTAATTAAGCTGTATAAAACCAATAATTTTATTGGTTGACATTTTATAAAACAAAACATTGTGTGCTTGTAGTTGTAAAATCATTTATAGTAATATATATATATATATATATTTGATAGAAAAACTTAATTACATAACAGATTACAAATTTCTTGTTTGTATTTCAACAGTGAAGTTATTTACTTTTTATTTAAAATTTGACATGATCTAAAGATTCATTAAAAAAAATATGAAATCTGATCTCAATATTATAGATGATCAAACAAAAACTACCCTTTCTAAAAACGATATTAAAGTTATTTGCATATTGATCTCTATGGTTATACCATTTTATACTGCAGTTGAAATATCGACTTTTATATGTGATCAGTTTACTTTCTACAGGTAATTTATTAATGTTTTTCATTGATTTCAATATGAAACCTTCATTCGAATCATTGCATATTAGAAATTGAAGATTATTATGTAATAAAATATTAATATGTGTAGATAGCTTAGTGGCTGAAATACCAAAATTTATATTCATGCAAAATTATGGCTTATATATATGTATCATAAGTAACTTCGAGCATGGTTTATATAAGTACGGCAGAAGTTACTACAGGATATCTGTACAGTGAAATTAAATTATGGAGACAAATTTCAGAGTGGTAGAAATGATACTGGTGTCAGTGACAGTAGAAGAACCTGGAAATAGTCAATATGATTCCAGAAGAAAGAATGAATTTGTTGAATGAAAAGTGTAAGACAGTTTTAAAATTGAAGTTTTAAGAGAAAACAACACGCGGATTTACTTTTACTATTAAAACTGATTCTGAACCACATAAGCCAACATCTCCAATCACCAGTTATAATAGTTTCAGGAATCCTAACCTTGATATATACACGACGTAGTACAACAGTCATTGATTTCATGCACTGTTACTACATTTTGGCTTCGTGGAATATACATATCTATAACTATACATTTCACTCTCAGTTATAATGAGCTTAGAAATAATTTATACGTTTATATTGATTTGATATATAAATAGTTTTTAGCCTTGAACATTAATTTACCTAAAACTATTTCCTTCTATTTAAGTAGCAAATTGAAAATGTTAAATAATTTCTCAGTAATAATCAATATTGCTAACTGGCTCTTCTATTGCATTCCTTTGTTATATATTCATTTGTCTCAAGTTTCATTGCCAAAAATGAATGGAAAATATGTGCTGAAAATATTATAAATTATCAGACTATGATGTTCATTAATATTGATTTTAGCTAAATGAAGGAATAGTAATATATGGTTATTGCAATATTGAATTCAGTATACTTTCTACTTGATTGAAATTGACAACTCTAATTAGGATTATTTTGCAGTTATTACATAAAACATGGTTCAACATTCAAGGCTTCAAGTAATTCTTCTCTTACATGGTTTTTAACGTATTTTGGAGTATTCATTTATTGATAATCTTATATAGAAAAACCTACTGATAATTGTCACCAGTTCTGATTAAAAAACACTTTACAGTCTATTAGTTCACTAAGTTCATTATGTTGAACCGATTACGATCATATAGAAATGAGTATTTCGTTGTACTGATACTTTTAAATGAAATCTAAAGTTTTTTATTTGAATTAACTGAAAACATGTCGCCGAATGTATTATTTCATGATGGTATTTTGTTGATGTTTCAGAAATGAAAAAACGTACTTTCTTTTGTAAGAACTTAGTTGCAGTTCAATAAAGAATTTTAAAATCAGTTAAATCATCGTCTGAACACTGCCTGATCATTAATTTATCAGATGGAACTAGTTAATAAATGTCATATAGGTGAAAATTGTCACAATCAAAAAAATAATAACTGAAGTCAGATACTTGATATCTTTCCCAACCTTTGTCATTCAACAATTAAGTACGGTATATATCCCAACTATTCTACTGTATTATATAATTAAATGTGAACACACTGCATGAGACATTTGATTAATTCATGTTATCATAGTTAGTTATACTTAAATCCATTCGCAGAGCCTCATCACATTGTGCTACGAATCAATTTTGGAATATTTTTATATAAATTTCAATAAAAGAGCATATTAATAACACACTTCAATGATGATACTTATTTCATTAATGAAACGAGATTTTTTTGAAAAAACTTCCTATTATTATTTATTTCACAGATTAAAGTCATGAGTCGATTGAAGCTAGACCACCATAGAAAAACCTGAAGCACTGGACGGTCGTTTCGTCCTAGTATGGGCACTGCTGAGGAGTCTCGTAGTAGGACGAAACGACCGTCCAGTGCTCCCAGTTTTTCTATGGTGGTCTAGCTTCAATTGACTCATGACTTCAATCTGCGGAATTTCTAAAATCTCCACAAACCCCTTCTGATATTATTTATTTATTCATATCACAACTAGTACACCTGTCATCACATTATCAATTTGTACTTTTCATTTATTATGTTTTGTTATGTAATCTATTCCACTGTTATCATTCACTCAGAAACTGTCTTCATTGGTTTAGTAATTTCATATATGTTAGATCTAGAGCTTAGATTCTGATATGATGGGAAGAAAAATCAATTTTCGATTGATTTACTCATTATATTACACCCATTCTAATTCAATGTGATGATCATTTAGTGTAGTATTCGGTTTTCTTTTCTCGTATGATATTTTATTTCTGTAGAATATACGATATTCTTGTATTCCATTGACATGAACTATGCTCAGTATGCGATTTGTTATATATGTGATTTAATCCTAATTATTAATCAAAAATGGGTGTAAAATCAATATATAAATGAGTGTACTTTTGACTATTTTGATCATCGTCGTCGTTGTGTTTTGGGGCTAATAAATCATCACTTATACCAGTCTTGTGTTCTTACTTTCGCACCGTGGGAATTGCCGAGATCCCTTGTTCTGAGTACAAGTGATCAGCGCTTTTTCCGGCACAACAATTGCGACGACCGAACATAACAGATTCTTAATATGCCGCGTATAACTTGAGCACTCAAACGTCAGAACCCTTCAAAGTATTAAATGAGAAAACAGAAGATAAACGAAAGGAATGCTTTTCCAAACAGTGTCAATTATGGTATAAAACTGTCACGTATTTATAGTTCTTAGTAAAACCCAAGTCATCTTTATAGTTATTCAATCTACACACAGGAGGTTATTAGCATTTGTCCAATAGGGAAGCTACATATATGGATTCTGGAATATTCTTCCAAAGGATAATTGGATGGAATATCTTCGGCTCTTTATGAGCTTCTTATTGCCTCCGCAAGTTCACCCGTGGACAGACCTCGCGATGCGTATAAATATTACCGTATATTAATGTAAAGCTTTATGAGCATCTACTCGAAAACAATATTGTTCGCTAATATATATGATGTTATTATTTAATCATTATGTTCTATTTGTAGTTTCCTAACACAGCGTGGATTACCTTATGGATATGGTATATCTACTGATGGAAATAAGTGAGTTTATTTTTCATACGTTTCATATGAATAAATAATTTCATTTCTAGAATAAAATGAAGTTTCTATTAATTGACGACATTAAGTGATTTAAATTCAATCTTTAATATCAATGAAATGGATCAATTTTCAAATCTAGCACGCATAACCAAAAGATATCATACAAGTGTATGATGATGACCCTATTGTAACTTAATTCTTTGAACTCATTCTGGCCTTTAAAGTGACTGAATAAATTCTTATTTAGTGTTATTTTAGAAGAGCTTAGATAACATAATCTATTGACTTGGAACAAAAGTTTCGATAATACTGAACCACATGCCTTAATTTTTATTCATTTTACATACTTAAAATTGCACTTCATTTTTTTGTTATAGATCCTATTTATTTACATGTGTGTATAATAGAAGTTAAGCCATGGTTTTTCATGACACTGTTCTACAGTGATTAATGTCATGAAACGTAGATTTGCACAAAACTGTAACTGTGAATCTTAGTATTATCAATTTGTGTTACAATATCTGAAATATGTATGAGTATACTGATTCTAACATAATGAAGTTATTTTGGCTTGTAGTACTATCACTAACTCAATCATTTTAAACTATAAATTAGTTCTTGTCAATAATACTATCGGAATATTGAGACCACAATATATGTCTTTGAACAGTCAATCAATAAATGCTAGTGATTTACTATTATGAATAAATCCCATTACTCCACCGAAATATGGATAATTTTCGCTTTTGCTCTCAATTCAGTTGGATGATCGATTATGGTTTAGTTAAAATCACTGGAAATCAGATTAAATTATTTAAGAGCTAATTACCAGTTGATAAACAATTATTATTTATTAAAGTGGTTTAATTAATTGATGTTTGTATGATTTAACAGTATTAGATTATCGTAAAATGACATAACTTGCAAAAATTGCCTTATTGTATTAAGTTTATAAATTAAAAATTCAACCACAATGGTCCAATCTCACTTCCACACAAGAGAATTACTACAAAGTCTGAATGAAATATTCCTTTACTTATATTTTTGAAAACAATACACCAGACAACTATTTCATTTAGTGAAAACTTACAGTTCTTTGTGAGACCTCCAAAAAAATCAATATTTTATAAAGATGTTTAGTTGAAATCATGTGTTACTTAACTTATATTGGTTGTTTTCAATTGTTTCCTGATTCCAGTCTACGTTCAAAACTCTCTTTAGATTGAAAACAGGACAAAATGTATTATACTTTAAGAGGAAATGCCTTTTTAATTGGTAACTGTGTGTATATAGTTTTGTTTTATTCATAAAATCATTTTCACAAATCAGCGTGTGAATAAATTGTTCATTTAAATGTTTTAACAATACTAGATTATTATAAACAAAGATGGATGGTAGCTAGTAATGGAATACAGGGTGTATATTTTGTCTTATTTGGGACTCATTAGCTGAATTTTCCTTGTATTCAAGATTTGATGTTCACTTCGGGACTCGAACCCATTACCGTTTGCACCAAACGCCATCGTGTTATCCACTAAGCTACTGAATCCTGATAGCCACCATCCATTGTTGCTTATAGTGATTGTACATTAAAGGAATATCGAGTCGATTCGCACAGAGTGCAGATATGCTAATACAAGACTGATCAATTGTAGTCCTAAACATCCATAGGAATATAAAAAGGAACAATACAAAATGAATTTAATACTAGATTCGGTATTTAATCACTGATGAAGTGATAACACCTGAATGCTAACCACAACTTAATAATAATAATAATAATAATGGAATTTTAGTTAAGTATAGGTTTCACTTTTAAGTTTTTATTCACATAACAATTTCATCAATAATAATAATTCTAAAATACGAAGTTTTATAATACAAGGCAACTGAACTACACACATTCTTCTTTATTTATAAACTTGATCAAGAAAAACAAAATGTTTACGGAATGTGAGCCAGTTATTAATGATGATCAGATTGAGATAAGTTTCTATAGAATAATACAAAAAAGTATTACTGATAGTAGTAGTATTCACAGTATAAACATTTCGAAAACAAAGATATATGATTTCTAGATTACTTTAAACTGAGTATTTGAGTCAAAAACGATAATAAAAACGATGAAATAATGAAATGTATACACTATGTATAAGATTATATGAAACACTGTTAAAGGTAATTGTACTTATAATGAACAATAGATAAACGTGTTTTAACCATTAATTTAATAATTAAATGCTAAATTGTATTGGTTTATTCTAAAACAAACCAGTTAATCAACTTTATAATTCGAGTTGTAACGAAACAGTATAAACATGAGATTAAAAATAAGGTAGCTTAAAATTAATTAGGTTTAATAATATAAAATTATGACATATTAGATGAATGAAATTTATCTATTTCTTTGTATAATTACACTCTAGTTGGACAATATTATATAACAATGTATATATGGAAATTATAATCAAATCCCATAGGACGGGATCGTGGATGTTTACTGCTGAGGAATCCCATACTAGAACGAAACGACTGTTCAGTGATTCCAGGTTTTCTATGATATTCTAGCTTCAATTGACTCATGAATTCAATTCTTGACTTACTATTATAGGGGTTGTGGAGATTGTTAAGTTTTTGATTGAGATCATGAATCGATTGATGTTAGACTACCTTTGAAAACCTGGAAACACTAGAAGGCCGTTTCGTCCTATTGCTGGACTCCTCAGAAGTGCGCGTCCATGATTCCGCTCGCGCGATTCGAACCCAGCCCCTTCGGTCTTGCGCCCGAGCGCTTAATCAAAAATGAACAATATCAACTTAATCTGGTGACACATTTTTCTTCCTTTTTTTTGTAAAATTTTCAAAGTAACGGTAATCAGTTGACATTTTTATAAAGTTTTCCTTTTCACTTTATTGAATTTAATAAGTTGATGGGTAGTTCTCTAAATAACATTAAAAGAACTCGGGAGGTTTCTTAAAGGTCATTTGAAATCATTCAGCAACATACTTAAAATGCTATTCATTTCTTCTTGTATCTAAGTAACTGTGGATAAAATAGAACCAATATTGATTTATCAATGCTTTTTTATATTTAAAAATAAACACAGTTCTACAGAAATAAAACTCAAACAACACGATGCTCAAAAGCAAACATCATTAGTACAGTCATCAAATAACTTTGCAGCAGTTGCTCCTGGTTTAATATCTACTCTATTAGTTGGTTATATATCAGATCGTTTTGGACGAAAAATTGCTTTAGGAATCCTCATAGCTGGAGAAGCTGCACAAGTGGTGGCTGTCGGTATGTTTTTTTTATAACAGTCATTCTATATCTAGTCTAAAAGTTCTCTTTGAAAGCTAAATATAATGCTAACACAATTTTGATGTGTTTATTACAATTTACTTTAATGATGAATTAGTATTATACAGTGCATCAGCTGTAGTAAAACATTTGTTTTGAAAAATAAAGAGCACCCCCAAGCAAGTAATGTTTGGCAAAAATATTTACGATGAGTTTTAAATGATTCCTAAGACATGAGCACATAATTATTTTGAAATTATCGGTAAATCGTTTACTTTATCTGTTATTTGAGTGCGAATTAGTGTAAACTAAGCTCATTCATTGTGTTATTATGAATATTGGCGGCCTGTTTGAATATCCAGGCTACCTGTTCCTGCTATCTAGATATTTTAACAAGTTATTTGTATTTTTTAACACATCATTATGTTTGTTAAGCACATAACTTATTCAGCCGCGTTTCGGAAGAGTTTACGACCTTTCGCTGTACAAGTTACAAAAAATCCAAATCAGAGACATAATGGTTGCTGGCAATATAAATCGAAAAGAATGTACTTTATTAAGATGTCGATTCCGGAACTGCTGACATCTAACTGGCGATCACCTATTATTTATCATCAGGATCGATGAAGAAATAAGAGACGGAAACTTGTTGAAATACTTTATACTAAGAATTCTATATTGTGCAAAAGTATAATATTGGATAAAGCTAATGATAATAACAATGTATTCGAAGTACATGTAAAACAGTCCAATTTTTCTTAAAACAAGCTAAATCAGTTTGAATGAAATAGGACGTAAACTCTAGTAAATTTGATTACATGCATAACAAACGACAATTAGTAGTGATAGAGGCCAGAAGAATAACATTCGAAAAAAAATAATTGTGGTTAACTTGATCTACACTAAACCTTATATGTTAATAACATAGTTAACTATTTACAAATTAGAACCATGTACTGTATTAAGAAATTAAATTAAAGAATCCAACATCCAAAAAGTACTTTACGCAAAGACATTTATTGGCAGATCATTCTATTGAGTAATTATTAAACTGACAACAGTATCATTTTAAATCCTTATAATCACTAAATGAAAGTGAAATTTTTAAAAAGGTAACAAGGAGAACGTTTAGCTATCAAAGTTGTAAAATCTTACAAATAACAAGTGGTTTTTATGTGGAATCCAGAAAATCTTAAGTCTAAAATTAGTGATGATATGCATTTATATGTCAAGGTAATTTCCGATTATCGTTCATTCACTTAGTTTATTCAATCTAAGCTTCATAACACATTTAATCCATTCGAATATGTTCAAAAACACTTTTCCTTGAATGTTTCACACCAACTAAGGTTTTGCGTTACACCTTTCGATTATGGATACATACACCATTATTTAAATGTTACCCTTTTGTATTCATATCAACTCTATGTACAGAACTGAATAACTAACTTCAATAATAACTATTTACATTTGATGTACTTAAGGGAATTAATTAACATTAGATCGAGTCTACTTATTTTGCTTAGTTATTCTAAAAGTATACAAATTCCTGTTGATATTCTTAGATTGAAATAAGTGAGTTAAGTTTTATTTGTCTAACCTTAATAATAATCGAATTTTCGTTTTTTTATATTCTCTATTTAACTTTTGAAGTATATCCCTATTCTTTGTATTACAAATTTATATATTATAAATGCATTTGTTTTTTTGTTTTTTCAATATTTACAGCTGTTGTAGTTTTCTTTCGTTTAACACCATGGGCATTAGTTGCTTCAAATGTACTAGAAGGTTTAATTGGTGGTGGTTTACTATCAGCTATTGCTCAATTCTCCGTTTGTATTACAGATTTAACGAATTATGATCAACTTAAAAAATTTACATCTATTCCGAAATCTGTGTATGAACGTCGACGTTGGATATTTTTAACACTTATTGATGGTTTAGCTTGTTTAAGTTTGGCAATCGCTAGTATGATTGCAGGTTAGTATGATACTGATCGGCATTTACATAAAACTTTACTATTATATTTTAAGTTATGAATCTAATTCTGCGTAAAATGCATCCAATGGTATTGAATCAGAGTTTGTTTGGATGATATGGATAGATGATAATTTTATAATGTAACTATTTTAAATCAATTTATACGAATATTCATCAAGATTAGAACGAATAGTTCAACAGAAATTGGGTGCCGAGTATAGAGAAGACACTTCATGTGAAAATTATGTTTTAGATAATCTCAGAGATTGGACTTCGAATAATTCCAACGTTTCGTCCAGTTAACTTGTCTGGACTTCTTCACGGTAATAATCAAAATCACCAAAGAAATATATGGCGTTGTAACAATCAAATCAAATCTGTACTGTGTTAAAATGCTAGAATGTTTGGGATGCGCTTCTCGCTCTCTAAATGCAATTTGTTGCTTCAGGACTGGTCTGCGTCAACACCTGAACTAAGGATAGGGGGAGAAGTAGTCGAACGCGTTGACAACTTCACTTATCTTGGAAGTCTGATCAGCCCTAATGGGTCGGTGTCTGACGAAATCTCAGCACGGATTCGAAAAGCTCGTTTTACTTTTGCCAACGTACGTCACCTATGGCGAAGGCGGGATAGCCGTCTATCAATAAAAGGACGAGTATACTGCGCGACAGTTCGTTCTGTTTTAATTTACGGCGGCGGAACTTGGCCATTAAGAGTAGAAGATACTCGTAAGTTACTATTATTTAACCACAGATGTCTTATAAATATTGCTCGCATATGCTGGGATCACCGGGTAAGTAATAGTCAGGTTAGATACAGGGTATTAGGGAATGATGGTAAATCAGTTGACGAGGTTGTGAATCTCCATCGACTGAGATGGTTGAGCCACGTGTTGAGTATGCCTGAACATCGATTGCCACGACGTGCAGTCCTAACCGATGTTGGGGATGGTTGGAAGAAAGTTAGGGACGGCCAAACCAAAACGTGGCATCAGTGCTTGAAGTCACTAACTTCTGATCTAAGCCATGTTCGCAGATGCAGATTACTTGGTTGGGGTCCGTGTGACTATCACAACCAATGGTTGAAGTCTCTTGGTGACATGACTCAGAATCGATCATAATGACGTAAGTGTATACACTCTCTGTCTTCCTTTAAACCATGAGACTAAAATTGCTTCATATCTTTCTTTCTACGTACTAATTCTTTCTTCCTGTACCATGTCCTTATACGCAATCTTTCCTTCATATATTACACCACTGAGTTAACTGCTTCTATGAATCTGGTGTTCGTCTTGCTGTGCTAATGAGGTATGGCAACTTGAACCGATTCACGTATGTGCCTGGTCCCATGTTGTAGCTGACTGACTGTTAATCCAATCATATTTGGATGTTGATTTTTATCTTTATTTGATTTTTATTATTACCGTAAAGAAGTCCAGACAAGTTAGCTGGGCAAAACGTTGGAATTACTGAAATTTCAATCGCTGACATTATTTAAAATATAATTTTCACATAAAATTTTCAAGTCAAGTCAGTATTCTTATTTATTTATTGGCCAGTGTTAACAGTAATAACAGTAAATATATTATCAATTAATTTTGCCTAGCATTATTGTTTCATTTACAACTTTCATCGTAGTTCAAGTATGTAAAGTCACAATTGATTCGCTGTAAGTGAAAGAACAAGAGAAGGTTCCACAGTTTTCCAAGGCGTCGTCATCTTCTTATCGTCAGTTTAATCTACTCGATTACATAAGCAATGACAAGGATGTTACATTAAAATTTTTGTTGAAATAAAAAAATGCAAAATACCTAGCTGTAACATACGAGAGTTAAAAAGTCAAATGGAAATCCACTTTTTATTCGATTAACCTATAAAAACCTTATATTACGTTTTCAAAATATCTCAGACATATCAATAAGATTCATGAAAAAAAACGACTAGGCATCAATCGCACATGCCTCACGATTTAAATCTCAAAGAATGATGTGAATGTTGATTAAATCATGATTCACCAAGCCAGTGAGTTATCAAAAGGAATGTCGATGATTGTTTTCTTACAGAAAATGATTAAAATATTAACGAGAATATGACCAGATATGATAGACATATACCATAAATTTACTTGTATATAAAACTTGAGAAAATCTTTTTAATAGTTGAATTTATGAGCTGATTAAAGCTAGACCACCATGGAAAACTTGAAAGCACTGAACGGCCGTTTCGTCCTAGTACGGAACACCTCGCCAGTGCTCATTCACTATCCCGCCCCGTGGGATCCGAACTCAGGACCTTCGGTCTCACGCGCAAATGCCTAACCTCTAGGAGTTCCACACTAGAACGAAATGGCCGTCCAGTGCTTCCAGGTTTTCTGTAATGGTCTAGCTTTAATCAACACATGAATTCAACCATTACATTACTACAACCTCTACAAAAAACCCCAAACTTATTACAGGTTCTTTTTATTTGTGCTTACTAAAATCGATTCATTACAACAAATTGTTATTATATAAAATGATCAGACAATTCCAAGTTGAATGTTGTATACGTGCATAATGCAAATAGTATCCTGGTTTATTTAAAACAACTGCTCATTAGTTTAATGTAATTCTCTAAATGAATCGTTTATCTTAGACAAATGTCATTATTGAACTGATTGTTACTTACTTACTAACGCCTGTTACTCCTCGTGAAGGAGCATAGGCCGTTCACCAGCACTGACTGATGATAAGACATAATCTAAAATGTATAACCCATAAAATATTTATTTTTAAAAAAAAAACTGTTTAAATTATGTACGAATCATTAACATTACATAATCAAATAATAAATGATAAAGTTTACTTCAATCCTTTTACTTAAAAGGTTCATTAATTCATACATATGGTTTCAATATTACAATGATGGTTTGTATTCTAATCTATTTACCAGTTATAATATTGATATTCTTTTTACCTGAAACAAATAATGTTAAACAATTAAAATATGATACTGAAGTCAATGTATATAATCATGATAAACTACCAAATAATGTACATTTAACAAAAATGAAATTAACTTGTTGGCAAATATTTTATCAGAAAATTAAACAAACAATAATGGTAAATAAAATTGTCAAACAGTTTCCTAATTGTTATTATTACTTAACAGTTTGATTGTAACTTTTGTTTTCATATGTTTACTATATACATCAATTATCTATTCGTTTATTATAGCCTACAGTTGACTATGAAAAGTATAGGACTTTCTTATTAACTCAGAACTGAATTGCAATAGTTCACTATAGAAATGTTGACATGTAAATCTTTTGTAATGTAATATGGATTGGTTGAAGTTAGACGTTAACATTGTTGGATGCTAGCTCATTGGTCTAGAGATTAAGCGTTTGTACGAAACCTAAGGCTTTGGCCTTGAGTTCCACGTTCGTGATTGCAGATGCGCACTGCCGATCAGCCCCCTCCATGTTTGGACGAAACGGCCTTCTAGTGTTTGTAGGTTTTCATTGGAGGTTTGACATTAATTTTTTCATGATTTCAATCAAATGTAGAATTAGGTTAATGAGTAAAGCTTAAGAATCATTTATTGGATCTTGTAAATGATGTCTCAGGATGAAACTAATGATTTTGCTTTACTTGAAATTATTTCTCATTATAGCTTAACAAAGAAGAAAATAGATTAGTTACATCAAATGTCCTGAAACATTTAGTCGGTACAAGAAAATGAGCTTTGAGTGAAATGTTTACTTTAACTTTAAAAATAATAAATGTTGACTGTTCTGTTAGCATCAAAGTGAACAACAAAGAGGGAAGACTACTTCAATTATTAAACATGAATTATATGATCATAAGTTAAATAAATTTATTGTGTACACACTATTTTTTCGTAAAGCTGTTAAAATATTCTGTAAATCAGCTGTTAACATTACATCATCGGCCTTAAAGCGGTACCACTCACCAAATGTATAAATTTATTATGTATCATAAGTCAAGCCGTTTTCAAAAGAATGAAAATATGTTAGGGGAAATTAAAAAATGAAGTTCAAATTAATGACCAAATGGTTGAAAGCTAACTAATTTAACTGTGAAGCGTCAGATATTTAGTTAATTAAAAACTAAATATTTCTATAAGCAAAAATGGGTATTGGCTAACAGTAGAATCCAGGACTCGCGTTTCGTCCTATTTGGGACTCGTCAGCTGGATATATCTGCATCCCAGAGTTGATATTCACTCTGGGACTGGAACCCAGTACCGTTCGCTTCAAACGCCATCACATTATCCATTTAGGTACTGAGTCCTTTTAGTCACCTGCTTGTGCAATTGGGTGAAGTTTAAATTCACTTGGTATTATTTGCTTGTAACTTCCGATTGTTGTTAAAGACGGCAATCGATCAGTCTCTTGTTGGCATATGTGCATCTTGTTTCGACAGTCTCGATATTACCGTAAGTTACAAGCATACTGGACTCCACTGTTAGCCACCATCCATTTTTGCTTGTAAAGCTCGTGACTTCAGGCAATATCAAAGCAATCGGTACAGGATACATATATCTCAACAAGAGACTGATCAATCGCAGCCCTTGGCAACAAAGGAAAAAATACAAGCAAATAATACCAAATGAATTTAAGTATTTCTATTATTATGATCAATAAATAATGTAATACCAAAGATTGTCACATCCATTTGACAAAATTCGTTATGGCTTTAACTATTCAACTGATTTTAAACGATTTCCACTATGTATACAGTGCGGATTCTTCAAATGTTATAAAATTAGCTGTCATTTTCTGAAAGCCTATACTTTGTAAGAAACTACCTTTTTACTGATTATATAATTAATAACTGTACCAGATTATGATTATTTTCCACAGCAATTATTATTGCATAATTTTTTAAAGCAAAATTCTCATTTTATCATTTATTTTTTAGACTGTAATATCTTCCAATCCAGTTTTAATAATAATCTTAGGAATTCTATTTATTGTATCTGTTTCGGCAATGGTAGATTCACCATTTGTTACGGTATACTTAATGAGTGAACCATTTTGGTGGAATTCAAGGAAGCTAGGATTAAGCAAGTAACTTACTATTTGTTTGATTTTATTTTATGCCCCATTTGAAATTAAACAAACGATGTGATTACAAATGATAGATTTGTTTTAAATGAATAGAAAATATTTATTTCGGTGAAATATCAAACAGCTTTGGTCATCTAAATTCATTATTATTATTATTAGCTTTATCCAATATTATACTTTTGCACAATATAGAATTCTCAGTATAAAGTATTTCAACAAGTTTCCGTCTCTTATTTTGTCATCGATCCTGATGATAAATAATAGGTGATCGCCAGTTAGATGTCAGCAGTTCCGGAATCGACATCTGAATAAAGTACATTCCTTTCGATTTATATTGCCAGCAACCATTATGTCTCTGATTTGGCTTTTTTGTAACTTGTACAGCGAAAGGTCGTAAACGCGCCTGAATAGACTATGAGACTAGTAGGCATAATAATGTGTCGAAACAAACATAATAAAAACAGATAACTTGTCGGAATAACTAGATGGCAGGAACAGGTAGTCCAGATATTTAAGCTGGCCACCCGATGGATGTATATGATAAGTAGTCGAATGGATTGGTAGACAGTTAGATTGGTGTTTTTAGTTAATGGTTGTATGTGCTGTAAAACTAGCACTCATTTAAGTTCAATGAGTCTAGAACTCATTTCTCTGCAAACATCTGTTTAAAGTGGACAGAGGATGTTAGATTAAGCTTTAACTTCATTTCACTAAATGACATTATATATTTTCTTCACTTTATAATGATAAAAAATCTCGGAACGAATAGCCAATATGAATTCCTCACATTTTAATGTTAACATTTGATACATGAACAGAAACATGTTTAGTATTCACAACAATAAGAACTCTAACAAGGGAAATTACTGGTTTAACTTGTTTCATTACTAATTAATTTATTAATTAAGGGATCAAATTAAACTTATATTAGTTCTCTTCATATTGTTCGGATGTAAAGTGTCAACTTACATTTACCGAAATTAACATTGATCTATGCTTCTATTCTCTAAATCATTAGCTTACTGGTTTTACACTCGGCTTGTTAGTGAAGTTATTTAATGTCAGACGATCAGCTCTATATTTTTGACAAATCTTGATGAGATATTTTTCAATGTTCTTTTTGTTGTCTGAAAAAAGTAGAAACCTTATTTTGTTTGAAATCACTTTGTTTTTTTTCTCTTCTGTTGATGAAAATCGAACGATTGTAAGGTATTTCAAAGTGGAAACATCAATTCGTTAGTTAAAAAAGAAGTAGATTGTAATGTTAAACTTCAATGTTGACATCTATTGTCTTTTGAGAAAAATAATATGCTTTTGTTACATTTATGTATTGATTCTTTGACAAGAAGATAAGAATTTGTAAACGGTTACCTTTAGTTAGTTTATGGACAGTACAATTAATGTTCACAAACTATGTGAAAATATGTATTTAAATTGCATTAGCTCTATACGTATCTGTTTGCATATTAGTGTACTTTGAAATACATCAGATAGATCTTATTGGACAGTACACAATTTTCTACTTGATTTCTTCTTAGGCTTACAAACTGTAAACTTGTGGAAGTTATTTTGTATATAGAAAAATTGAAAATAATAATGGTTAGAATGCTGATATTATAAACTTACTATTGTTAAACATCAATCAGAATTCAGTCTCATTACATCTAAGTTCATATAATTAAAATGATTTATGAAATAACTTATTTATCAAGTATACATCTATGCATCCGGCTTTAATCAACAAAGTACACGTGATAGGGATTGATTAACAGAGTCGTTTTCGAAATGAATGGGTTGAACTCAAAACATTGGCTTCGGTAAATTAGATGCAACTCACACTAAGCAGCTACCATACTTATTATAGCTGGTATATATTAAGATCTGAAACTAATAAATCACGATACTACGACTGTCTTGTGAACATTTTAATCGTTTATTAAAGCTACGAAAACAAATATATGATAGAGTGACTTTGGTTAACAATAATTTAAATAATAAGCTGATCAGAAATATTGTAAATTAGCCTCTTAATATTTGTCAAGTAAGACTAGAACAATGAAACAATAATTCTCAATGTAGACATTAAGATTACATCACCTTTAGCTTCTCTGTAAAGCTTCATGTGTAATAACTATTTTACCCTATATTAACGGATAATGAAGAATCAAGTTTGAGAATATCTAACACTACCGAAAAAAAGTATTACTGAACTATTATAAAAATGTAATGATTACGAAATGTACTATATTTGTGATAAACAAGTAGGTTTTGTAGTTGAAATCTAAGTAAATAAGTCACTAAGAGATGACTCCTTACGAATAAGTAATTAAATTGAAATTTTTTTTACTTAACCAGATATTTGTAAATTTTTATTCCATATAAAATGAATATTTCAATCATAAAACATTCAATATTACTGTATTGAACGAGGACACAAATGGGGACAATCGAATACATTTGAACACAAAATCACAGAATCACATAGTAGAATCTGAGAACTATACAGTATAAACTTCATTTACAAAATGTCAATCAATCGTTTCAGACTTTATTGTTCTTTCTTTTCCACACCAATCATTTTTTGTTCTCGTTCTCATTTTCTTGATCTTTTTAACCTTCTGCTCCCAGACATTTCACTATCGATTGATGATACATACCACTTAGATCTTTCGACATCAGTAGCACACACCACACTATGTCTCAATTTGAATCACTTTTGCTATATCACTTGTTGAAAAGTCTTTTATTAATAAGTTTTTAAAACTAAAGAATACAATACCTCATAACAGAAATCAAAGAATCACGTATATTATCATAACAGTATACATATAAAAGAAAAAACAATGAACGAATTAAATAATGTTAAATTTAAGGAACATATATATTTATATTAGTATATTAATGACCGAAATTCTGATTACTATAACTGAAAATGAGTTAGAAGCTGAAACAAATCAACTTTGATATCTGTACGTAAATACGATAACTAACCAGTAACATCATAAGACTTTAATTTATTGATTATCTTCATCTCCGTTTAACCACCATTAAGAGGAAAAGTAAATAATGTACAACTATTCATTTTAGCTATTGAAATTCTAAAATCTCCACACAAAATTTTCAGGTAATAATCAACTGCTCACTAATGACTGACTTCAAGAGGCATTTCCTGGAGTTCTGGTGAGAAGCAGTGACCAGTGGAGTTAAACCATGTCTGTTGTGAGATATCAGCTCACTGAAGACAATGGTGTACGATGGCGCAATTTCGCGAATTGGTTGAAGTTAGAGATTAATGCCATTGGATACCGGCTCAGTGGTCTAATGATTAAGCGCTCGCACACGAGACTGATAGGTCCTAATTTCGATTCCAGCGAGGGGCGGAGTTGTGGATGCGCATTCCTAAGGAGTCTTTCTGATATTCATTATTCAATAAAGTGAATTTTAACTTACAAATATAGAATAACAAAATGACTAGAAGAGCTTAAGAACCGAATCTAGCGTTCAATTAGAAGACTTATCAGTGGTGGTTGCGTTGGTGGTGGTGGGGAAAACTACAATGAATATTTCTATGGAGCAACTAGAAGCCTATGTACAGCATCAAGAGAAACGGTTTGAACAGTTTCAAATCAAAATCATGGTAGCCCTTATGCACAAAATCTGTCTTTCTCAACAAAATCTTGCTTCTCGTGAATTACAAGTTCGAATTATTTTTCACATAAATCATAATCTAAGTAAAATGTTAGATTGGTTTATGTGCTTAAGCTTAAACTATTGAATTTACTGCAGTCATATTATTTTCTCATTCAATATTCTCTATTTATTAATCCGAAATAATGAGAAGTGAAAACTGATGGAAGTTTACTGTATGCTAATTACCTCTGCAATGAAATCATGAATAATTAATGAAGAGTTGAGAATTATAATTTCAAAATACTTTATTAAAATAGTAGTGTGTCTAAGGAATTTTTCTTATTCAAGACTACATAAGTGGCTTAAATATTGACTCATTTAAGCAACTGAATGATTGTTAATGTCTTATGTCGAATTCGACTTTTCTCAGTCAACTTTGTTTCCTACTACAGATATGTGTAACTCTGGAAACTTTGACGACTAACTGATCTAAATGTGATCCATCCATTGGATTAAGGTAAAATCACTCTATAATCAAAAAGGGAGTTAATGTTCGGTGGGATTTAAGTATATCGTTAAAAACAAATCGATAGTACTACAGCGAACGAAAACACAGGTGGAGACAACCAATTTATTTCAATACAAGATTACAGAATATCTTGGTAAAATATGAGAACTACACACTGAATACTTCATTTGTAAATTTCCATCATTTTTCATTTGCATTCTTTATGATTCTTCCAGTTCACAATCCTTTTTTATTTTCCTATCTGTTCTCTTTAAATCAATCTTCTTAGCCTTCTGTTACCAGATTTTCCACTTCCAACCAGTGTTACATATTAGTTATTTCTGTCAACATAGGCAGCATACAGGCCAGTACTAGTAGAATAGTTTGATCACATTACCATAATGAAATGATAAGTTTTTACGAAAGGTATTAATTGAGTATAGAATATCAATGATAGCCTAATAATCACTGCTTTTTTATATTTACATTTATTTTTTATCTTGTTTCCAACTATTAGGATTATTTATGTTTTCATGAAAACATTTTGACGACATCCTAGTTTGCAAACCAAGCGTATTTATACATACAAATATGATTTTCGTATTTGTTGGTTGGTAGGTCTACCGTCTATCAAGTAATTGATGCTTTCTTTCTAATAACGGGTATCAATGCTTCTGTAGTGAAGGAGAACACAGGTGGGGACAACTAAATGTATTTAAAACAAAATTACAGAGCATCTCAATGAAATCTGAGAACTATATATCAAATCGTTAATTTGCAAAATGTCCACCAATTGTCTCAAAATGCCTCAGACTTCATTGTTCTTACATTTTCATAAAAATTGCATTCTATTCCCGCTCTTGCTTTCTTGATCTTCCCTCATCTTCTGCTGCCAGATATTACATTCCTGACTCGCGCCATATATTGCTTATATCAACATAAGTAGCATGCACCACACTTCCACCTGATATATCTCATCATTTAGTAATGATAAAGTGTTGGAGTAACAACACTGATAAAAGTATAGTGTGTGGTTGTGGAAATTGATTAAAATAAATAATGAATACATTTTTATCAAACATATATCTGGATGGAGAGAATAAAACTGTAACATGTTTACACTCTAACCAATTATATATCGATTTCATGCAATTAGTTGCCTTTAGGAATTTAAATAAAGCCAGAACAAACGTTGATACAGAATAATATGAATTCATTATATACCGTAGTTTCTCATCAACTGCTTACAACCAAATATGTATCAGAGTTTTATATTGAGGTAAGAAATACTATGGAACAATTGACATGGGTGAATGTAAAGAATTGGAATGACAAAGGTTATCAATATATATATATATATATATATATATATATATATATATATATAAGAACAGATCAGATGTTATTATCATTATTGATAGTGACTTTATTCAATATCATATTTTTGGTACATTATAGAATTCTGAGCACAAAGTATTTCATCAAGTTTCTTCTCTTTAATTCTTCATCTATCCTGACGATAAATATTGAGTTATCACCAGTTAGATGTTAGCAGTTCGGGAATGGAACTCTGAACAACGATCATTATTTTCAATACTTTTTCTTATGTTTTACGGTGAAAGATTGTAGACTTTTCATAAACGGTCCTAAATAGGTTATGCGAATAAGGGCTATAATGGTGTGTTAATACAAACAAAAGATAGGCAACTTGTTGAGATATGTTGATGTAACCCATATATTCAAACAGGCTGCCAAAGTATTTTTTTATTTGGTGTTAAAATCAAGGAACCATTAAGGATGGTCGATGTAATAGTTGAGTGAGACAGATAAGATAAATTGTGATAATTTTAGAGGTAATGAAGGGTTTACATAAGATGGGTTACGTAATAATTGAATAGAATCTGAAGAGTTCACATAATTTAAGAGAATCAAGTGAGTGGAAATGCAAGAGTGAATGCGGTGGTTTTAGAACTCGATAATGGAAGAGAAAGATAACACAGACAAAACATTAACAAAATAATACTAACGACCAATTGAAAAAATTGAATTACCAGGGTAGTAATAGGTTTATTACTGACTCTTTTTAAATACATAGATCCGGTTTGAGTTTTTTTCTCACAATCCCTACAGTAAATCAGAAAGAAGCAGTGTTTCTTTGTCTGCTAATAATTTTAAAAGCATGAGGAATGTCAATGGTGTCAAGTAAATGCTGAGCTATTGCACTGTTGAGAGCCCTAGTCCCTCGCAGTCTCAATTTCTTTGGAACATGCTCAGAAATGCGAACATGTACTCTTCTCTCGGTTCTTCCAATGTATGTGCTTTGGCACGTACATGTAAATTGGTAAATGCAGTTGGAGCTACTGAGAAAAGAGGACCTGTTGATTTTAATTTGTTCGAGCGAGCAGTTCGTTTCTCATACCATGATCCGTTTTGCTGCTGGGTAGGTCACTTACAACTCAGAATTTGTTCTGAGACGAAATTACTAGGATAATTAATTAATTAATTAATAATCACAATGATATTTTTAACATATTTTTCATAACCGTTCTGTATTATTGTATTCATTCTATCCAAATATTTCTATCTATCTATTCATTTAGTGGTATAACAGAAGCATGTTCAGCATTATTATCTATAATAATTGTAAATATACTGGCAAGAATTCAATTATCTCAATCAACAAGTTTGAATAATAAAAACAATCATGAATTGAATGATGATAATGATGATGACGACAATAATCTGACTGAAAATAAAATCAATTTTAAGTTTCAGAATACATTGTTCAATTTACTAATATTTGCATTAAGCTTAATGTTCTTAAATAGAATTATGATGACAATAGCATATTTGTTCTCATCGTTTACAGCGAATATAATTGTTTATATTGGTAAGTATTGTAATTTTATCAAATTAATATATTTCCAAAAGTATCAAGATTATTGTTTATTATTTTAATTGTAAGTATGAGTTTATGGAGCTTGTTGAATTTAATTGAAATCCTGACGAAGCATCATCGATGCACAAGGACGATTGGATAGGACGTACATTACGGAGATCACCAAACTGCATCACGAGTCACACCCTAAATTGGAATTCTGAAGGAAAGCGGAAGAGTGGAAGGCTTCAGAACACATTACGTCGGAAAATAGAAGCGGATATGAAAAGGATGAATAACTAGGAAGAGCTTGAGAGGTTTGCTTGGGACAGGGTTGGATGGAGAGTGTTGGTGGGCGGCCTATGCTCCTCCACGATGAGTAATAGGCGTAAGTAAGTAAGTAAAATCCCGAACCGATCTAAGTCAGACCATTATCAAAGCTTGGAAGCAATAGACAGCCATTTCGTCCTAGGAAGTTCAGGATCTCAGTGATAGTATTTTGATATTTAACAACTTATACAGTCGTAGTGATAGCTGAGTGCTGTGATCTACCTACTTTTAGCAGGATTAAATGAATTTTGGAGTAGCTGAAAGACAACTTATTAACGAAATCATTGTAGGAATAAAAGCAATTTTTGTTAAGTGACCAAATAAGTAAATCCTTGTATTTGTATTAAATACAAGTTATATTCTCATTGAAAATTTAAAAAAATAATAATTATGCTTATCAGTATGAAGTTATGGAAATTGTTTTCTTTTTGATTGAGATCATGAATCGATCAATGCTAGATCACTATTACTGAAGAGTCCCATACTAGAACTAAACAGCCGTCCAGTGCTTCCACATTTTCAACGGTGGTCTAACATTGATCGATTGATGATCTTGATTAACACTGCTCAGATTATTTGCTAAAATGATTCATAAACACTTAACAGTGTTACGAAAATTAAGTTAGTAGCTGTATAAGGAAGGTTTAGTACCAGCTATATAATTGTGAAATCATGGTAAATATCTTATGTATTATTACATTTACAGGCTTAGTTCCGAAACTAGCGAAGAATATTAATTTCCCTTTATTGCGTACACTGATCACTAATTGGAGTGGGACTCAGCGAACAGGCAAGTTAAATCTTTATGCATAATTTTAAGATGATTAATATGTTTTCGATAATATTTGTTACCAAACATTGTAAATAACAGATATAGACAATATAAAACTCTGAAGAGTAATATTCACGTTTCCTATTGTCATGCTACATTTTATAACAACAGTAAACAACTGTGGATCAAATAATTCAACAAAACTTCAATCAGCTATAGGTCTTTTAATATTTATGCACTTTCCCTAAAAATCACAAACATGTTCTCTACCTTCATAATATCTAATGATACCAATTAACTTTTTTGATACATTTTTTTATGGAACACAGAAATTCATACCAAATTCTAAAAAACAACATGACAAAACTTTATACTAAAACTATAGATCACAAAGTGATATCATTTTCTATTTTAAAAAAATGCAGCTCAGTGAATTTTCTGTGAACGAAGGTAATGGTAAATCAATTCGGTGTCTTATCATTTTGATTGAGATAATGAACCGATTGATGTTAGACTACCACTGAAAATCTGGAAGCACTGAAAGGCCGCTTCGTCCTACTGTGGGACTCCTCAGCAGTGCACATTCGCAATCCCGCTCGCAGGATTCAAACCCAAGGCCATCAGTCCCACAGTTGAATGCTTAACCTCTGGACCACTGAATCGGCCGGCATCCAACGGTGTTAATGTCTAACCTCAAGCAATCCACAAAATTGCGCGGTCATCTTTCAGTTGTACTGAGGTAAATACCTGCCTCTACCTGACACTGATTAGCCCCACTGGACACGGTCATTTATTTATAAACATTTAATGGATATGAAATAGTTAGTGTTGAGTTTAGAAATCTAAATGTATCGCATCTAATTAGAAGTACATATTTTAATAACCTGGAAATAAGGATAAGGCTAGTGAGTGATGTGATCATGGATATAATAAATAAGAATTAAGAGAACAGGAACAGTGCTCTCTGACTTGATGGTTTCATAACGAACATAAACTTGACCAGATCGCTAGCATGTTATTACTTTTCAAGTGTCATATAAGATAATGGTGAGACTATAATTTATGGAGGGCCTTTGAGCGACGCTAAAGTGACCTTGAGAATGTCCACCTACTCATTAGGTTTAATGAGGGTTATAAAGTTTTGTGAAGTATAAAGATTATGATTAACATTTAACGGGTAGGGTTAGGAATTATATTTAGAATTTTTATTACGAACTGACATCAGCTAAAATGCCAAAACGCTGTTTAACCAAATGGATGAATGAATTTCGCCACGAAATCCGAGACCTGTTATCCTAAATTTAATTGGTTTGTCCATAAGTTGTAGTCTCACTGAAATATTCACTTTCACGGAGACATTATGTCAAATCCGGTCAACATATACAGTGCTTTCAAACCGGAAAAATAGTTGATCCGTGATTTTAGCAATCACTAATTATCTTATTTATTATCCTTTGAAGGTTTGATTCTTTCATTCGCTTCCTTCATATCAAGAATCGGTCTATTAATCAGTGTAAGCGCTTTACCTTTGGTTTATTCAGCTACTCTTTCACACTTTCCTGGTGCTGTCTTTCTTGTATGCGCATCAATGTTATTTGTTGCAACATGTGCAGCAATGTAAGTAAAACTTTGATTTCTATTATTTTAGCATATTTTTGATTAAGTAGGGTAACCATGATAGTAACAAAAACTTATTTTACACTTCATGGTCTTAAACATAGAAATTTTAAATTTAAAGGACATACATCTTGAGAAAACTTTATACAGTGTCCTAGTAGAATAACTGTTTGATTAGCTACATTATATTTTAATAAACATGAGTACTCGGTATATTATTAGAAAGTGGTACAGTTATACACTGAAATATATTGGTTATTATGAGATATTACTAGTTCTTAATTTTAGTTGCTAGTTCTAATCAGGGTGAAAGAAATTAGATTTTGATGTTTACATATTCCTGTGATCGATCTAATTGGATTTCGTATTAGAGGGAATAAGCTATTTAGTGGTTGATTAAGTGACTACAGTCAATGTTATTGATGAGTCAAATCATTGTCATAAAGGTATTACAAACCGTAATAAACTTTAATTTGTGAAATAATACTACATTCAAGAACCATAATTTAGCAACTATGAAACTCATGTTAAAACTATGAGACTGCCACAAACATATATCACCATTCTCCCCAAGCTTTAAAATGGGATGAATATTAGGAAAGTTGGAACTTTCAGAATACTTTATTTATATCCTTTATTGTATAATTAGTTGATATTACATTTCTATATTCGCCTCATGGTAAATTTAAATAATAATTCAATGATGAGTAGCTAACAAACTGACATTTAATGGTTCCGTTTAAGTAAATTTCTCATGTAAAGACTGGAAAACGCTTACAAACAAGATAAGCTTCAAACATGTTCTTCTTTTAATAAAAAATTGCATAAGATGAAAATCAGCCGAAAATTACTCGAGGACATGTCCAATTAGTTGTTTAGGGAAGCTTTGAAATTATATGTATCATATCGAAGACATGTTGACAGATTTATTCATAATCAAATCGTTGTATTTTAGAGATTACTAATATGTTGATTTGAAGTATATTGAAGCATGTGAAAATTAATCTATGAGTAAATGATTGCTGATAAATAAATTGTAATCATAAGGCTCACAAAAATGTAAACTTTTTCTTTTACCTGATCTTGAAACTTTCAATTTTATAGAGTTGTAGAGGCTACTACTGTTTATTGAGAAGGAAGCATTTATAGGTGTACAGAAATCTTGCATTTGTATCTTTTTCAAAAACATCTAACCAAATTTTGAGAAACATTTCAAAATTTAGGTTACATATGAGTTGTTTTTACAGACTAGCATTAAACTCAGTAACAGATAGTTCTATCAATTACACGACTTTTCGTCTCATCAGAATAATGGATGCTAAATTAACATTTGAAACGATGGGAGCGGGGATTGAATATTATTATCAGAAAAGAGTTACATTTAACTGACAAGTTGCAGATAGATCGAAATAAGCATCCTGAATTCCATTAATAACCACAATCATAGATAATGCTCTTGACTTATAAAAGCATTAGTACATATAAATGTTTTGAGAATATACACATCCAAGATGTACTTACGATGGCTACAGCAATAAAATCAAATATAAATGTACTCAGCAAAGGTGGACAGTGGTTAGCAGTGGAATCCAAGACGCTCATTTCATCCTATTTGAGACTCGTTAGCTGGATGTACCTGCATCTCAGAGTTGATGTTCACTATGGGACTCGAACACAGTAACATTCGCTTCAAACACCATCGCGTTATCCACTCAGCTACAGACTGATCAATTGCAGTCTTAAAGCTCAATAGGAAGATACAAGCAAAACAATCACAAGTGAATATAAATGTACTAACTTTTGAATACCTTATAAAGTTTCAATATTTTAACTTGATTGAATCTTTTTGTTTGATATTGAAAATCAATTTTAGTTCACTTCCATTCCTGGCGAAATACAAAAACATGAACGTGAGAATCTAAAAAGAAAAAAATAACAATTACTGGTTGTTTTTAAAAAAAAATTAACAATGATGAAAGTTGTCAACGTCCCTTATACATTATTGTATATTCATGAGATGATATGATCATGTATCTGTTTTATCATGCTAAAGATTCGAACCAAAAATGACTACTTTCATTTATTAGATTGTATTTTTTGAAATTACTCTAAATTAGCTTAATGATTACATGGAATGAAAGGACAAAAGTTGGTTGATTTATTCATTATGATTTTTATCCAACATTAATTCTGTTTGATAATCAATCAGTATAGTATTTGTTTCGTTTAACCCTATGACATTTTATTCTGTATAATATACGATATTCTTGTATGAATTATTTTTCATATATGTGATTTATTCTGATTATTAATCGAAAATGGGTGTACAAACCAATATATAAATGAGTGTATTTCCGACTAGACTGGTTGGTATCGCTCGTGCTTTTGGATAATTGCGAAATATACTTCCCCGTTCCAAACTTGGACTTCTCTCTAGTTAGTGGGGACGGAATGTATCAGAAATATCTAGCTTATTGGTCTTTGGTTACAGAGTCTTAGTTCCGTTCGCAAACAAGGTTTTCTGCAATTTTTGAAAGATTTTCCATACTGGTTATGATATCAGCACCAGTCGGGGTTATCCGTCTCGTGGTTTAGAGACACATCGCTTACGTGAAGTGCTTCTTCGAGGGGTATGAGACCGTTTACGTTCGTTACGAAAATTAAGATAACGTGTAAGTATGACATAACTCTGTTATGTCATCCTGTGTCGTTCGACGCCTTTCTTTGACTGAAGAAAACTCGGCATCAGAGGATTTTGTGATTTCTAAAATGCGGTCGGCAGATGCAGCCAGCTCGTCTACGGCGTTGTTTTGAAACGAGAAAAGCACAGCTTGCACCTGTTGAGCAGCTTTAGATAAGAAATGTTGTTTGAATAGGCCATCATCGAAAGTTCTTTGGTCGATAAACTATCCGATTCTTTGCAACATGTCTGCACAGAACCGTGTTGCAGGTCGATATTATCAAGGAATTTGTCTAACCTTTGTCGATCGGTTAGGTCTTCACGTTTAACGATAGATCGTTTAAGTGTTTCACAAAGTTCAGAAACATCACTAGTAAACATACTAGGTGTTACGTACCTGTTGAATTCGTGCGGTAGTGCCTTGACTACTGCGAGGAATTGTGCATGTGTGTCGTTCATGCTGTGCTCGTAGAAGTCTGCCTCTGCGTAACAGAATTAGGCTTCGATATTGTCTGGTCAGATAGGCATTAATTGAAACGAAGGTGGGGATATAGTCTTTATCTTAAGTACCTTGAGTGTCTGTTGAGCCGTGGTGAAATATCAAGTATGCGAATGAACGAGTGAAATATATATATATATATCACAATGTATGAAAAATTAAAATAAGGCAATGAGATGTAGAATCCCAAAAAGGAACAGACTCACAGTTTGTAACATGGTGTACCAGATAACGTTAGGCTCACCAATGAAGATGCCACAGGTATTCGGAGTTTTACAACACTTTAACCAGTAACACCTAATATGAATCGTACCCAACTAGTGAAATCAAAAGACAAAAGCGAGGAGGTTCAAAAATATATTTGATAGACTATCAATATATTGAGGACCATGTGATCTAATCTGGCTAGCGACTGCAGGGGAATGTTGAGTACGGCGTTCTCACTCGTGATTTCGTAAGGATGCATGACCGAGCGCCTTCAGCTAGGTGAGTCCATTAAAACTAATGTGGTCAGCATCCAATATTGAAGACTTAAAGAGCTATTTATTTTGGGGATTTATTTACCGCTACATCGTAATCGCTTCAAACATAGCACACATTAAATCTAATTGTAATTAAAGTGAAAAAATTGTGTAATATTTGAAAATATGAAAACATGTGTAAGAATCCATTAAACTTTTCAAATTATTGTAATGCTTATCAAAATCCATGATCATTTTGCTAAGCACAAATAAATTGTTAATATAACAGTGAAATGCATTCATTATCAAGAATTGTAGTTCATTGGTTTCTTTTATTTATTTATTTGAACACATTAATTTTGATACAAGTGAGCAATGAATACATATGTGCCGTACAAGTCACTTGATTTGTGTGTGCGTTGTGATACTGCCTGGGTGCTCAGACCGAGGCATGAATTACTGTTAACACTATGGAGATTGTAAATGTGAAAATAATGAAATCATGAGGCTTTATGAAAACATCTTTTGAGTAATATGTAATATGTCAATTTCCAAAATTAACGGTACTAATTTTGCTTGTTAACAAAATTAAAAAAAGGTGAAATTAGCCATTGGTATTTATTTACTTTAATAGGAAAGAATCATTTCGTTTAGTTTTGAAATACTTTTTTAAGTATATCAGAATTCACTATTCTACTTGAAATCCTATTCCATTGTCAGTCCAATATGTACTTTATTAATTATATGTTTTAGTCAAACTTATTTTCAGTAATTATACATATTTCTTCGAGTTTAATAAAACAGAAGTACAGTAGTCAGTATAAAGTTAAAACTATTAGTCAAGTGCTTTCTTCTAATCCAGTTCTTATATGATGTTCAAGAAATTTGGGCTATCGATAGTCCTGGCACGAAAGAACTATCCATGATAAAATCAAGTGAACTTTAGGTTGGGTTATGATTATTTGAAATCTTATTGATTACTAAAAACTATAATAATGGTTGGAGTAAAGTATGTTCATAATAATTTGTTTCGTTAAAATGATTCTTCTTTCAATTATATGTAGTTCGTCGATCAATGAAACAAAGCGTTAAATTCTGAGAATCACGTTCACATGGACGCATCAAACGAAAGTAAGATTAATTCAATAATTGATAAATTATTATTTATCACGTATTACATCTGAGTAAATTTTACAGAAAATAAAGTAAACACGCAGATCAGGTTCAAAACTATTTTTAACCTGAAGTAAATTCATTATATTGTAGTCAGCACCATGAAGTCTATGCTTACATGTTAGCCATTTATGCCGTTATAGTTTTAGGATATTTGTAAGGTATCAAATTATAAACTGGAGACTTTTAAATTATGAAGTAGTCTGAGACTACAAAAGTTTTCTAAATGAAGTCAGCCTACTTTCAAATAGATGAATATTAAACACTAAATACGACTAATATTCAGTAATTTAAACTCATAGTAAAACATCTTTTATTCATTATGTTACTTCCTTGATCCGTTTGCTAACTAATATATACAAGAACAGCTGAAACTCGAAAATGGCAAAATAAATGTCGTAATTTTATAATAATGTCCTGAAAAGTGATTTGGTTTACGGGCAAAATCTCTGGCCAGTTAGAGTAAGCGTCAGCGTAAACGAAGAAATTGGTACCTTGAGATGGGATAACAAAATCAATATGTACTTGCGATCAAGGTTCATTTGTAGATGACCGAGAATGGGATTCCCTTGAAAATGAAGCTCATTTTCTGCATATACTCACTAACTCTTCGACGTACTCATCAAAGTTAGGCCAACATATGGATCCGGACGATAGAATTCACTCTTTAAAGACCTGAGTATGCTATATGATGTTGTTGCAGGATGGATGAGAGTAGGTTATCTGAAACGACCACACTGTCGACACATAATGCAATCATTCAGAATGGATAGCGACTGACATAGTTGATAATACTGCTTTAACACATGACATGTGACTCGTGGAGACAAATCACCCCAGATAAATTTGGTTAGTTATTGTAAAATAGGTTCACAATGAGCATGATCAACAACTTGAGCAGCCATTACTGGGTAAATCTGTGTTGGGATCACCAACATTCTGTTCACATCTTCGTCAACTGATATAAAAGCAACGATGATATTGGATTCAGATATATCATGAAAATATATTGTACCGGTGGAATCAGATTCAGAAATATTATGAAAACGTATTGAATGGGAGGCATTGTATCTTTCTCTCCACATCACATTACTTGTTGTTTCCCCCATGAAGATACACTTTAGAACTATTGAAACCTGGAGATATTTTTTAATTCAAATTATGTCAAATAAACTAAACTACTTATTAGTAAACAGTACGATCCAAAAGAAAATACATGTAAATACCTTTGATTCCGAAGATGATGAGGATACAAAGAAACATTGAATTAGTAGTTAATTCATCACAACAGTTGAAAGACAATAACAATGACGATGGTAAAACTTAAATTCAGTTGCAATCACACAGAATGTTGTGCTTTTCACTGATTAGTTAAATTGGAAGATGACTTCTGGCATGATATCTACAATATAACTACGTAAGTAATTGTTAAAGAAGTTACCTAGAGTACAACACAAAAGTGACTGAGACTAGTAAATCTGCATTCAGACCACTTCTGAGAGAGATAGAATGTATGAATACTTGAATTCTGAGTCTAACATTGTATGAAATTTAGATAGCACTTTACCATTGCTGCTGAAGTCGGACCTGATAAATGGAACTCGATTGCAAACCGATTCACTTATAACTGCGCAAATTTCTGAATCCCATTTTGAGAACGAAAACAGTGACTTTATTTAGCTTCATACTAATATGATTTTCCATATGGCTAACCTCACGATAATCTGCATACAGAAAACGTTTAACCATGCTGAAACAGTTGGAGACATCATTTACATAAGTTATAAAGATCAGAGAACTCAAAGCACTACCTTTCATCATATCACTTGTCATCAAAAGGAAATCTGATAAGACAGTTTCTTAACTGTTTGATATCAATGACTGACAAAAAAACTAAGGTACCCGGGCAAGGAATCATCGTCCCATTTGATATGAGTTTACCTGCAAGGATGATGATTAGTCGTGTCGACTAGTCCGGAAATGCCAAACGTATACCACAGAGACCAGACGCCTAAGCATATGTTCAGTAGAGACTAAGTTACAAAAGCCAAGGTAACAACTTATGGAAGATCTAGTTTTATTGAATATAACTAAATTTTATATTTTTGAACCAGTGTTATGTGCTGAAAACTCTTGATTAACCACTACACGTTTCCTTAATTTAATTAAAAATTATGGTTATTTGTGATACTAGAGAGAAATCATGCAACTTACAGTTACTTTTCTACAAGAATCTTATTTTATTGAGACACTTAACTAGTATGAATAAACCACTAAGATTAATGGTCCTGTAGGTTTCACAGGTGCATTCGAATCTACGCACAAGAGAATGTCTAGTATACCTATGAGACTATAGTAAAACTGTTATTAGTGGGAATAGCATAGACAACTATTTTATCAGTGCATGTACGAAAATAGGAACAATATCTTGAAATCAAACTACTTTGATAATGTTATCACTTCAAGGTGGAGTATGAACTCGTTATGACCAATATTTGAGTGTTGCTAAGAATTCTTCTCAATTCCAAAATAGTTTAATTCTACTGTGATGCCTATTACATCAGAGTTTAAAACAGAAGCATGTATAAACTTATTAGTAGTAAGATCAACAGTTACAGATGTGCCTTGAGCTCTTTACACACAACCAATGAGTAGACTGCAGCTAGAGGTAAGAACTAAAACCCGAATCGATTCTGGTACGCTACTGAAGACAGTCTTCAACCTTATTGCCTGTTAGACAACTCCAGATGCATATCAAACAGCCATACCAACTTGTACCTTATCTGTTATAATGATATATTATGTCGTTATGAATATTCAACCCTAACTAATGAATTGCATTATAAGTATTAACAGTTATTCAGTACCGGATATTACAGCAATATTTACTATTTGTAATAAGTGGTTTTCATTTTATCGGTATCACTTAAAATATGAATGACAAACGTCTAGTCAGTTGTTTATATTTCATACTATTCAGTTTCCAAAACATTTTGCTACTAAAGTGTAAGTATGGTGTGAATTCATGAAATAAACTTTAACTATGAATATTCGAAGCTGATTTTCCACACATATTGTTATTAACCTAAGCCATACAGTGAACTTGATATATTATTAACAGGTTAAAACCATGTTGACAAAATAGTGCCTGTATAGTGTGCTTTCATGTTTCAAGTGATTGTAAGCAACCAATAGGAAGTACTAAACTTAAGTTTCGTGATGGACTTGACTCTTTAGTTAATACTTATTTATAATTTCGAAGAACTCCATGATTCGGTGGTGAATTGAACTGAGTCGTTCATGATCATAGTCAAAGAGCTAACCAGTAAGCTACAAGGACCGCGCAAGATTTCGTGTAAGACGAAGATATTCACAATAATCGGTCACCGAGTATCAATTGATTGATATCATGTTTTATTTTATTTCTGGATATCGAAAGAACTCTATAAAATAATTTATGACCCCAAAGGAAACATCGATTATCTTAAGACTGCAATTACAAATTGCTAGTAAATGAGGGAACAACAACTCTAGTAGTAACTTCGATTTATACCCGTTTGTGGTAAAATAATAAGTTGCATTCAAAATAGGAATTATGCATAACAGTGCATACAGTATAAAGTATGTACGAACAAGTGTATCGTTTTTCAATTCATCACTTAGAAAATTCTATCAACAAATTGTATACAATAGCGTGGAACAATATAGTTTCCCTAGATTTATAGATTTAGGTGATTCTATTCAGTTTTCGAATCATTATTAATAGATAACCTTTACCGACTGACTTAAGTGAAAAATCTTGAATATTGTAATAAACTAATCGATTCTATGAAAATAAAACTTCAGAAATATGGTTGCCTATTACTTTTAGTAAGTTTGCTTATAAAACACGGTGCTACTCACTGGAATGAATTACTGTATGTGTCTTCAGTATGTGGCAAGTCACACTGTAAAAGTACAATGATTTGAATTAAAATTTACTTCAATACAGTAACTTAGAACATGAACTGTAAATTGTAATCCATTAATCGATGCTGTAAAACAGTGTACAACATCAAAAGTTAATTATACCTATAATTACTTTTGTTCGATTCCGTTCATTCGTTAGATCAAAATGATTTTCTCGAAGACAGTTTTTAAGGCATTCTAACGTTACAATAGTATGTTAGATCATATATGATACTAAACAATCGTCTATGAACAAAACGTTTTCAAGAGAATTAACCTACAGATTATGTTATGATGACAAATGTATAGATAATAATAATTACTATTAATTCGAACATTGTCAAACGATTTTCTGAATATCGCTAAATTAATGATTTATTTAACGATAACACATTTCAAACACAAATTCTTACAAAACACGTAAATTATAATTAAAACAAAAATGACAAATCAAACCGCAAGAAAAACATTTTTGAACGGAAAAAAAAACTTTGTTATAAACAGATTCCATACACATGTAATAAGCACAATCAATTTTTTTCAAGATGTAAGTGAAGACGTAGATCACAATAATAATAGGAGGTATGAATGTTAGAAGCGATTTAATATATTGGATTTTATTTATACTTTGCCTAACAGCAAAAAAAACTTGAATTATTATTTAATTTAACTGTATTAAGGTAAACTTTTCCTGAATAGGAACCTCTATCTATGAAACAAACATTATGATGACTATACATACCAGTGTTGATATCTATACTAGGAATCGAACCCAGTACCTTTCCCTTCAGACTCCAATGAGTTGTTTACTTGATGATTAAGGCTAAAGATACTGTGTTCGAGTCTCAATATGAATATCAACACCGGGATGCAAGTATATCCAGCTGATGAGTCCTAAATATTATCAAACGTTAGTCATGGATTACACTTCTAGTTCCTAATTGTACACACAAGGTATCACAATCATTCTGTGAGAAAGATTATTTTAAAACCAAAAAGGTTCTCACAAACACCAACAATTATTTATCTCAAATGCTTCCTTCTGAAGATATATTAAGAAGTAGTGTGATCTATATAGTCAGTTATATCAGAGGTTGAACGGATATCTGTCAACGAAATCATTACTTACTTACTTACGCCTGTTACTCCTCGTGAAGGAGCATAGGCCGCTCACCAGCATTCTCCATCCAACCCTGTCCTGGGCAATCCTTTCTAGCTCCGTCCAGTTGTAATTCATCGTTTTCATATCTGCTTCTATTATCCGACGCAATGTGTTCTTTGGCCTTCCTCTTTTTCGCTTCCCTTCAGGACTCCAAGTTAGGGCTTGCCTCGTGATGCAGTTCGACGATTTACGTAATGTATGTCCTATCCATTTCCATCGTCTTTTCCTAATTTCTTCTTCAGCTGGAAGTTGGTTTGTTCTCTCCCACGGGAGGCTATTGCTGATGGTATCCGGCCAATGTATGTTGAGTATCTTGCGTAGACAGCTATTTATAAATACTTGTACTTTCTTGAATGTGGTTGTTGTAGTTCTCTAAGTTTCAGCTCCATACAGTAGAACTGCCTTGACGTTCGTATTGAAGATTCTCACTTTGATATTGGTTGAAAGTTGTTTTGAGTTCCATATGTTCTTTGCCGATCCTCGCCTTTACGTCTGCATCGGATCCTCCTTGTTCATCGATGATGCTTCCCAGGTATGTGAATGACTCTACATCTTCCAGAGTTTCGCCATCAAGTGTGACTGGATTGCTGCTCTCCGTATTGTATTTGGGGACCTTAGTTTTCCCTTTGTGTATGCTGAGGCCTACTGATGCAGAGACTGCTGCTACACTGGCTGTCTTTATCTGCATCTGTTCGTGTGTACGTGATAGGATGGCTAGGTCATCTGCGAAGTCCAAATCGTCTAATTGGTTCTGAGCTATCCATTGTATTCCGTGTTTTCCTTCAGATGTTGAAGTCTTCATAATCCAGTCGACCACCAGAAGAAAGAGGAAGGGAGAGAGTAAACAGCCTTGTCTGACTCCGGTCCTTACTCGGAATGCATCTGTCAGCTGTCCTCCATGCACTACTTTGCACTGTAGTCCGTCGTATGAGTTCCGGATAATATTGACAATCTTCTCAGGAACTCCGTAGTGTCGAAGAATTTTCCATAATGTCCTCCTATCTACACTATCGAATGCCTTTTCATAATCAATGAAGTTGACGTATAGTGATGAGTTCCACTCAACTGATTGTTCGACGATGATCCGTAGTGTTGCAATTTGGTCTGTGCACGACCGATCCTTACGGAATCCAGCTTGTTGATCTCGCAGTTGGGCGTCTACTGCATCCTTCATCCGGTTCAGCAACACTCCGTTAAAGACTTTCCCTGGTATTGACAGTAGTTTTATGCCTCTGTAGTTTTCACATTTGCTCAGATCTCCTTTCTTTGGAATCTTGACGAGGTGTCCTTCTTTCCAATCCATCGGCACTTGTTCCTCCTCCCAAATCTTTTTGAATAGAAGGTAAAGCATGCTTGTGGTTGCTTCGATGTCTGGTTTCAGTGCTTCAGCTGGTATGTTGTCGGGTCCCGCTGCTTTCCCGGTCTTGATTTGTCTGACGGCCATTCTAATTTCTTCCGTAGTTGGTGGATTGACATCTATAGGAAGATCTATGTGTGCTGCTTCGATGTCCGGTGGATTCATTGGAGCCGGCCTATTCAGGAGTTCCTCGAAGTATTCTACCCATCTGTTACGCTGTTGTTGAATTTCGGTGATTGGCTTGCCTTCTTTGTCTTTGACCGGTCTCTCTGGTTTACTGTATTTCCCTGCTAGTTTCTTCGTTGTATTGTGAAGCTGTTTCATATTTCCTTCTCTAGCAGCTTTTTCTGCCGTCGTTGCTAGTTCTTCCACGTATTTCTTCTTGTCGGCTCTAATGCTCCTCTTCACTTGTTTGTTTGCTTCTATGTATTCAGCTTGTGCTTGGACTTTCTCTGCTCGTGTTCGACTGTTGTTTATTGCTGCCTTCTTGTTATTCCTTTCTTTGATCTTGTCCAGTGTTTCTATAGAGATCCATTCCTTGTGATGATATTTCTTTAGACCCAGAACCTCTTGACACGTTGAAGTTAACGCTTCCTTGATGCCTTTCCAGTTGTCCTCCATACTAGTTTCTCCTTCTTTCAGTAGATACTGTAAGGCTTGGAACCTGTTGTTGAGAGCTATCTTGAATTCATTGAGTTTGTCAGTATCTCGAAGGAAGGCTGTATTGAACCTTTGTAGTGCTGTTTGTCCAGTTCTTCTTTAGCTTCAGTTTTAAATTGGCTACAACTAGGTGGTGATCTCAAGCTACGTCAGCACCTCTCCTGGTTCTCACATCTTCCATTGTCCTTCAGAATTTTTTGTTGATGCAAATATGATCTATTTGGTTCTCTGTAGTGTGGTAGGGTGAGATCCATGTAGCCTTGTGTATACGCTTGTGTGGAAATATTGTGCCCCGTATGACCAATTTGTTGAATGCAAATAGATTTGCAAATCTTTCTCCATTTTCGTTTCTTTCTCCCAGTCCATGTCGTCCCATAATATCTTCATATCGAGTGTTGTCTATTCCGACTTTGGCATTTAGATCTCCCATCAGAATAGTTAGGTCCTTCCTTGGGCATTTCTCAATGATTGACTGCAGCCGCTCGTAGAACTGATCTTTAATGTCGTTGTTGCTATCATTGGTGGGTGCATAACATTGGATAATATTCATTAAGATCCCCTCCTTCTTTGTTTTGAATGATGCTTTGATGATTCTGGATCCGTGAGATTCCCATCCTACAAGTGCATTTCGTGATACTTTGGACAGCATAAGAGCGACTCCCTGAGTGTGTGGAGCATTGTCCTCTTTGTGACCGGAGTATAGCAGCATCTCTCCCGTAGCTAGCCTTTTCTTTCCAGCTTGGGTCCAGTGGGTTTCGCTGATTCCCAGTACTGCTAAGTTGTATCTCCTCATTTCCATTGATATTTGACTGGTATTCCCGGTTTCCCACATTGTTCGAACGTCCCATGTACCTATAAAAAACCTTAACTCTGGTTGTTAGAAGGGGCATCGGCCTCGTGGCTTCCGAAGGAACTCGGCTTTCACCATGAAGCGTCATAATTCTTCTAAATGAAGACCTTTTAACTCCCAGGGCAGAGTTAAAATGGTTTGGATTATTTTTTCTGGTAAGCGTTTTTTTAGCGAGTTAGTTTTCTACGGGATGGGGACGCTAACCCCATGCCCAACCCTCCTCCTTTACCCGGGCTTGGGACCGGCAGCAACCCTATAAGAGCTACAGGCGGAGTTAACGAAATCATGCTATGTAAAATTAGAAAATATAGACTAATGGTCAAATGATATTTGGTTAAGCAATATTTTTATTCTATATAACGCTAACGAGTTTCAAACTAAAACCGAACAACAGTGTTTGCAGTCCTCTTATCAGTGATTTATCGTAGATTTATTGTAGATTTATTGTAGAAATGTAACAAATGTTCTGAAAATATAAATGATTTCTTATAAGTAAATAAATAAATAAATGAGTTGATTATATTTTTAATAAAGTCTGGATTCGTCTTTTTTCTTCTTTAAGTTCAATGACATAACAGATTATATTACCAATAATTAACTGATTACGATTCCAGTGACAATTTGTTTGGAGCATATACTGGTAAAATTCTAAAAATAGGGAAAACAAATCAGGATAAGACTATGACTATAATCCAGTATATTTATTGAATATAAAAAAATAGGTATTGGTAACTGTGATGAAGAGTTAGTTCAGTAGTTCATGCACTTAGCTTTCAACAAATAAAATGTATATTTGTATACCATTTTCCAGTCAGTACTGATCGATAAGCACTACTCCTCTCTCTCTCTTTCTGTCTGAGGAAAGAATAAATCCTAATCATTCGGAGTAAACGTTTGATGTTAACAGTATAAACAGAGATTAGTTAATTAACTGATTAAAACTATTACTCTATTTCTTCAATTACGCAACGAACATTTAATTACTAAAGACGAAAACTTGCAAAAAAAATTACAAGTATAATACAAAAATTTATCAATAAATATAGTGATAGTTTTCTAAAAAAAATATGATAAGATTCAGTTAGTCATTCAGTCACAACGTAGAACTTCGTACGTACGTACATCAGTTCGAGTTGCCACACCACATTAGCACAGAGATGCACTTGTCGATTCAAATCCCGTAGTGGTAGAGGTAATAAGAGTATAATCAGTAATCGGGAAGATTAGGGTTTGGAGATGTTATTTAAAGAGTATAATCCAGTGAAATAAATTGGGAAAGAGGAAAAAAGGGACATGAAGAATTCAGAAGATTAGAATTTGGGAGAACACAAAGAGTGGATGCACCTGCGCCATTGCAAACGATTTTGAGCCATGTCATTCAGGGTCTCTAACCATCGGTTGCTATCATCTCGTGGTCCCCAACCAGGTAGTCTACACCTACCAACATGGCTCAGTCTACTTGTCAGTGACTTCATGGACTTGTGCCATGTTTTGGTTTGGCCGCCTCTAGCTTTCTTCCAACCTACTCCTATACCATCGCACGTCGAGGCAGTCAGTCGTTAAGCATACGTAACACGTGTCCCAGCCATCTCAACTGATGAAGTTTCACTACTTCATCAATTGATTTGCCATCCTTACCTAGTACCCGTTTCCTAACAACTGCAATACTTACTCGATAGTCCCAGGATGTGCGAGCAATATTTCGAAGACACCTATGACCAAATACTAGTAACCTACGAATATCCTCTACTCTTACCGGCCATGTTTCACTGCCATAAAGTAGGATGGAACGAACTGCTGCGCAGTAAACCCGTCCTTTGGTTGATAGACGGATATCTTGCCTACGCCATAAATGACGCAAATTGGCAAAAGCTAGCCGAGCCTTCTGTATTCATGCAGAGATTTCGTCAGACACCAGACCACAAGGGCCGATGAGACTTCCAAGATAAATGAAGCGATCGACACACTCAACTACTTCACTCCCTATCATTAGTTCGGGTGTCAATGCAATCCAATCCTGAAACAACATTTTACATTTCGAGGGGGAGAATCGCATCCCGAACATGCTTGCATTGTTGTTTAGAGTGGTCAGAAGATTGCATTTTGTCAGCGTCTTCACCAAATAAAACTATGTCATCAGCATATTCTAAGTCAACAAGTAAACCTCCTGGTAGAAGTTCAACTCCTGGAAATTTAGACGAGTAAAGTGTTATCTCTAAAAGTACGTCGACCACAAAGTTGAACAAGAATGGAGATAGTGGGCAGCCCTGACGAACACCACTTGAGGTAATCAATTCTGATGACAGTTCGCCATAACCTTTCACTCGACCAGTTGTGTTCGAGTAGAGAGCCTTTACAAGGTTAATGTACTTCTTTGGTACTCCTTTCAGTGAGAAACATTGCCATAAAACCTCACGATCAACAGAGTCGAATGCCACCTTAAGGTCGAGAAATACTACCATTGTGGGGTGCCTGAATGTGTGTCTGTGTTCTAGAATCTGACGTAGTGTGAATATCTGGTCTATACAACCACGTCCAGGTCCTGGTTTTTTCTAGTCTGCTCTTCACGAGCTTTAGCTAGGTGTCGAAGTATTATTGAAGCTAATATTTTAGACACTATATTAGTCAAACTGATTCCTCTATGACTGTCACAAGAGGACTTTTGTCCTTTCTTATAGACTGGCACAATCAGTGATTGAGAGCAGTCAGATGAGATTACGTCCAGTTCACAAATTCTACCTAAGACCTAAGTCAATCTCATTGCTAATACTGGACCACCATCCTTAAAAATCTCAGGAGTAAACCTGTCAGGGCCTGCTGCTCTCCCTCGCTTCAGATTTCCTACAGCTTTTTCAACTTCGTAAAGAGTTGGAGGACTTACATCAACTTGGCATTCAGGTTGACTGGAGATCGTGGGAAACCGAAGTGTGGCTGAAGGCCAGTTGAACTGATCCCTAAAGTGTTCTGCCCATCGATCCAATCTCCTGGATTGAGAATGTATAATATGTCCATCTTTCTCTGAAATTGTTTCGCTAACAGTCGGGTTCCTAATTCCGGTTTCCTTAACAAGTCTGAACAATTGTCTGCTATTACCTATTGCCGCTGCCTTTTCCATCTCTCTTGCTTTCGCTACCCACCACTGTTCGCGATCATTGCGTAGGCTTCTTGTCAGCTTGAGCTTAAGCTGACTCCGCTCTTCGTTATGTTCAGATCCAGATGGAATGAGTTTTCGAGCATCTATCAGTGCGATAGATGCTGCTGAGATCCAGTGCTGCTCCCTAACCTTATGGTTTACCATACTAGCAGATATCACTGCTGTTTCCACAGCTTTTCGGATATCATTCCATGCTGCCTCGGGGTGGGCATCACATACATGACTGCCTAACTGTTTTCCTAGTTGTTCCTGAAATATAATCTTAGCTTGACTATCATTAAACAGGACCCCAAGAGGTTTTTTTGCAGCGTCTTTCCTACATCCAGTAAGACGCAGACAGATACGCGCTCGTACTAGAGCATGATCTGAATCTAAGCATGTGCTCCAGAATGAGCGACAGTCTTCTATCGAACCCCTCCATCGGTGGCTGATAGCGATGTGATCTATTTGGGTCCAACGTTGGGACGAATTAGGGGGTCACCATGTTAAAAGATGTTTTTCCTTATGCTTAAAGTTAGTATTTGCAAGGAACAGGCGGTTATCTGAGCATAGCTGCAACAGACGGTCGCCATTATCTGTTCTTTGAGCCACGACACTATAAGATCTACTCAGGTGTCTTTCCTTATCGCTTAGTTTACCTACTTGAGCATTAAAGTCACCTGCCACTATTACTACATCAGAGCGCCTAGCTTTTTGGAGAAGGTCGGAAAACTTTCTGTAATACTCATCTTTTATATCATCTGCGCTGCAGTCAGTAGGAGAATAGGCAGAGACGACGAAGAGGCAACGACGAGTGTCCCTATCTTTTCGGATCCCACCTCACCCCTCCTTGTGAGAAGGCAGCATCGTTGCAGATGCTGGTTGTCCGAGGGAAACACCTTACTGCTGCCACACCCCTCTACAGTCAGCAGTACGACTTCACCATCAGACCTTGAGTTGCTGCTTTTGGTCTTACCGTTCTCCAATCGACCTGCCTGGCATGGTAGAACCTACAGGAACATATATTCCAGCCAATATAGCTCGGTTGGGTCATCACGATAGGCAAACCCGACCACCGCGTCAAGATAGCAGCTTCGGAAAATAATTTGTCTATTCATTGGCGACTGAGAATTCTCATTAGGACAAAGTGAAAAGATGAATAAAGAGAAAATATATTTCAGTTCAACTAGGTTTTCAACGTAGCTCTGCTTTCTTACGCCTGTTACTCTTCGTGGAGGAGCATGGGCCGCTCACCAGCATTCTCCATCCAACTCTGTCACAAGCAATCCTTCCCACTTGTCTCCAGTTGCTATTCATCCTTTCCATATCTGCTCCCAATTCTCGGAGCAGTGTGTTAACGTTCCTCCTTCCCGTTTCTCTTCACCATTCAAAGTTGGGGCTTGCTTCGTAATGCAGTTTGATAATTTCCTCAATGTGGGCCCTATCCACTTCCAACGTCTTTGTCTAATTTCCTCTTCAGATGGAAGTTGGTTTGTCCTCTCCCACAATATGCTGTTGCTAATAGTATCCGACCAACGGCCACTGAGTATCTTGTGCAAACAATTGTTTAGAAATACTTGTACATTTTCGATGATGGTTGTGGTAGTTCCCCAAGTTTCAGCTCCGTACGGTAAAACCGTCTTCAAGTTCATACTGAATATTCTGAATTTATTGTTGGTTGAGAGACAGTTGTTGTGAGTTCCATATGTTCCCTTAGGATCCTAGAGCCCATGTGCACCACTGGTTTGGAATCAGGGTTTTCCAACTCCAACTATCCATATCCACCAACGCAGTTACGGCGCCAGACACTCGCTCTTCGTCCTCTCAATTTCGTAAACAACACCCCTGCCGTGAAAAGAAATACGGTATTCATGTTTCTTGAATGTAATCTGAGGTCTAATATAGATTTTAAAAGCTTACTATAAATTGAACAAACAAACTTAATTTTTACATACCATTGTACTCCATCCATTAATTACAAAATAGACAAAATTTATCATGACTGTGTCGCACGTTATTTAATTACTAAGAGGATAGATTAACTAACGAAGGTAAATTATATCGAAAGTATGTGATTGTTTACCCACTGTAAGTTGATTGTCTACCAATTTATGTCGTCTAAAACATTTATCTGGATTATTCATTCAACAATTGGGAACTAGATGTACTACACTAACTAATTGACTGAAAATAGTTATATGACACCCTTTTCGGTATCCGATTTGATATACCAGACGGCTGTGAATTGACAAATAGACCACATCATCACGCATAACAGAGAATTTGAAACATTGATGGAATGTAAGAATCCGTAATATTGTAGAATTTTAAAACATAAAACAAATTGTCCTTTTTCTTGTACGACACTTACAAGACTATTAAAGCTTCCAAAATTGTAAAAGAGGCGCAAACGAAAAATACCGATCCTTTGAAAGTGCTAACTGTTGCAGCGTATATAACTGGTAGAGCTACAACACTGATCAAAAGCCCAAGGCGTTCCATTACTGCAATAACAGACATTACCATACCTAAAGGGAATGTTAAGAAAATTAAACGGGGGTGAATAAATTTCAAGAAAAAACAACTAAATTTTATGTAAACAGAAGATTAACTATCCTAAAACAGTTAAATAAATAACTGACAACCATATTGTATGACCGATTGAAAAAGGTTACAGTTATTAAACTAATTTGTGAACTTCAACTTACCCTGTGAACTGGAAACAACAAACAACTTAACCTTGAAAAGCCCAGTTTGTTTCTTAGGAAAACTGGAACGCGACAATTTTGTGATAACACTGGGTGTTCAGTAAATTAGACATACATAGCTTAAATAATTCCTAAACAAATGCTTTGTGTTGTAATGGCTATATCAAAGCAATGCGCACAGGATGTACATAAAGCAACAAAGGCTGATCAAAGTTCAACAACAGAATAAGTCAAATAATTTCAAATTGAATTATTAATAGAAATGTTTTCAATATGACCATCACAGACATTCATGACTTGTAGTGAAAATAAATTCTTAATACCATAACGAAATCCGATCAATCTTATCATCTCATATAAATGAAGCATGCGAAGAGATTAGTAGCGTCCCATTAAGTGCCTGTGATATTCTCATATGACAATCAAGAATACACACATTGAAGCATGGGATTTTTCGCTAAAAGATACAGCAGCGAATCAGTGCTACAAGTTAAAATCCCGGAGGAATTCTTCTGCAAAATATCACACTAGATTTAATTTAAAAGCCAAAGTTTATTGAGAAAAGAGGCGATTTAATTGACTAAAATTCTTTTTAGACTGTTTTATATTACTGCATTGTATTGTGAATCAAGCTCATAAGTTGAAGGCTACACAATCACCTTATAAAAGTATCATTATACATAGGTTTCAATGCTCATGTGATAGCATGGACACAACACACGTAAACTTAAGTGAACATTAAAAACAAACCTACGATCCATAACTTTATGTTTTGTAACACTATATTTTCATTTTTAATACAACCATTTTGATGAAGGTTAGTTCTGTGAAGTGAACACGAACACATTACACATAGTTTGACGAATTGAATAGTAATAATTCATCAGGAAAAAACTAATTCATTAAAATAAATAAAACATATAATCGATATATAATCATCACCTTGTTTAGAGACTTCTGTCCATTTTGATATAATAGTTCGAAGTATGGATATTTGAAAACCTTTAACAAATCTTGGAATTGTAGCTGTATAATAAAAGTAAACAAAGAGGAACAAACTTAAAATATAAAGAGTATTGGAAAAGATTATAAACAACAAAAAAGGGGAGAGAGAATGATGGTAAAGAATAGTGATGATGTGTTTGCATCGCACTACTAATGTTTACACTGAGACTCGAACCCAGTACTTTTGACTCAAACGCTCAACATGTTATCCACTGAGCTAACTATAGCTAATAACTTCCTCTATCGATATTATATTCATACTATTACTAGTGAGAGTTTGGGTTACTCCGCTGTTGATAAACATAATTGAATTTTTATCAACGGGTGTATCCAACTGACGAATCCTAAACAGAACAAAACGCATGTCATGGATCTCACTACTAGCAATAACTCATCTGTTCGATAAAACTTGTGAAAAATGACAATCTCGAGGCAATCCGCACGGAATGCACATAAACCAACAAAAACTGATGAAATTCAGTCTAAAAGATCAACAATAGGGATTATTGAAACCCTTTCTAATAATAATGACAAAATATAAAACCATTTAGAATGTGTTTTTTTAAGTTTACATATAACAGGAAAATAAGCGATAAATAAGCACAAAATTATCTAGATTTTTTTCTAGGTACATTCGAATTATCTAATATATGTAGTCAATGAATCGATAGTACACCTAACAAGGAAAAACATACAAAAATCAATCTAATTAATGTATTAATCAATTTCAAATAAACGGAAATCCATGAGCACAGACTTGTAAGTTTTCACAAATAATATTAGTTGAAACATTTGTACCTTCTAGTTAAGAGGATTCAGTATCGAATTGTTCAACGTTTATTTAGTATATACATTTGTTAATTGAATATGTATATCATGAATACTGACAACAGGAAAATGCGGATCATTTTAGTTATGAATACACAATATGTTCATTGAACATATGGTGATCATCGGAAACACTTTTCAGTGATAAATGTAGTACTGACTGTATCTCTGTATATGTTTTTATATTTTCAGTGTACTTATAAGTACTTGTTTACTAGGTTTTTTTTAAACAGAGGGCAGAGAGTTCGTTAGATCGAATAAAACTCAACAAACACATCAACTAACTACCGAATACCAAATGATGCTAACTAAACTAGCATAAATATAGGAATTACAATTGATAGTCAATAATCGTCTTAGATAGAATACTTCATTCATGTTTTTACAGCCATAATAACTCACATATCATCAAACAGTTCAAAGCAATAAACGGTACAAACAAAACTAAATAGTGATCAATTAATCGATGGATATCAGGTCATTTATAGAATAATCCAATGATTACCTATTAACGAGAAAAACATCTTAGAATAGATGAAAGATGTAAATTGAATTTTGTAACATTGATTAAGCCTATGTGATTTATGTTTTTCATACTAAGTATTGAAAGCAATGGTAACGTAAATAAATATTCGACAAAAAAAAGACCATACCGAAATAAACCAGAATATTTGCTGTTGGAACAGTGAATGTACAAGCTATGCCCATAATGATTTGATAAATAGAAAAAATTATAAATCCAAAAAATACCAACATAATGAGAAGAATTTGATCCACAGATTTTAAACGACCAAATAATGTTGTATTCATTCTATTTGATATTGATACTACTTCAACATGATTAGTTGGTTGATCTTTACGAAACTTGACCATCGTACTGACACATAATACAGATACAAATGTGCAGCATACATCTCTTAAACCTCTGAACAAAAAAGAACATATTTTGAGGTATAAGTTATAATACAAGTGTAACTATCAATATAATAATACTCAGAAATATTAAAAGTTAATATTTTCTGATAAAAAGTAAAATTTTCTGTTTATTGACAATAATCAGCAAAAGTGAACTATAATCTCTGTAGAACACCATATCCTTCACAATTATTTATTTATATAAGGACATAAACGTTGGTACAAAAGGGCATTAGAATATATACGTGCCACACAAAATCCATGTAGAGGGGCGACTGTGATACTTGCTCGGTTGCTCAAACGGAAACAGTTAGTTTTCTTAGGTGACCACTCACCGCGCCTTTGACCTAAAAGCAGTGGAACAACATTAAGAAATGCGACTTCACGGTGGCCGAAAATCAAGAACAAGTTCAAACCCTGTTTGTCCCCTTAAGATTCTGGAATCCATGTGCACCATTGGTTTGGAATCAGGGTTGTTCTACACTTCTAAGTGGATACCCCGTATGCAACAACCCGGTCTCAGCGCTGAACACTCGCTTCTCGTCCTCTCAACTTCGTAAACAACACTTCTGCCGAAAGAAGGGAGTGAGTAGGAACGGCATCCTCCACTAAAGGTGGGCGCAAAACAGAGTACATTGAGAAAAGCTAGTAATGATATGGATTTACAGCATGGGTACGATTGAAGGGGATTTAAAACCGATGATAGAAACAAAAGTCTAATAAAACCGAGACCCCTTCATCGTCCAATATTGAAAAAAGGTTTACATTGCATCACCTTATAGAGGAGAATCAAATAGCACAATTTCGAAACAAAAACAGTCATTGTAAAAATATAAAATGCTGCAAAATTGAATGCAACTGAAACAAAGAAGCCCATGATTCCATATAGGTTTAAAAACCAGATGTAGTTGTGAACAAGTACCAGTATGGCTAGAAAAAGAATCACGAAATCAACCAACAGAGCCATACTTTTTCACTTAATAGATACCGAAATAGATGAAATTTTCTCGGTTTTGTATCAAGTCCTGATTTATCTAATTAAACGAGTAAAATTACAGTTCTCATAAATAACGGATTTCATCGAAATTGTCTCCAAAAAATCAAACTTTTGTATCGAAAAGAGGTGCACAATCGATTACCCTATCTACCATGGGCTATGAATGTGTCATCCTATACTTAAAGGATATAATAGACGCTTACCTTGAATCTCTGCCGTCTCATGATTGATTTGAACACTCAATCTACTCAATTCCTATGAATCTCTTATCTTAATTGCATTTATATACTACTCATTTTGACCATCCTAACACAATAATTATGGATATATAGCTGTAGAGCTTGACGATGAAGTTATTGATGAAAATTGTTTGTTTAAACATTCTTTGCGTTTAAATATTATTTTTCCGTCTTATATTTTTAATCAACAGTTATATTTATTCAACCTTTCATGTAATTGACCTTTATTAGTTTTCATGTGTAAAAATGCCTTGACAAGTATAAGTATGGTCAGATTGTTCGAAATATATGGTGCAAATACATATCATTTTTCAAATGAACTCCATCTTCGCATTATACTAGCAAAAAGGGACTGTACTAAATCTAAGAATGAATTTTCGAATGAAAGTTTTCATTCTCCTGAAACATCTACCACATATTTAAACAGAAAATTTGAAGGACCAAATGTTTGGATTCTAAATAAAGGAACAATTAGATGTACTCACTATCTTATATAGAATAATGAAGATGAAGGAAATATGATGAGGGTATAGCAAAGGGATGAGCTTAGATAATCAAAAGGAATTTTTATCCAGGTTTTAGCTAATCAGAAATCATCTTTTGTAAATGGATAGTTCATGGAAAGGGAAACAATAATACTACGAGAGTGTACATAGATTTTACATATGAATGAATGAATGAATCTATTAACATCTTATACAGGTTACTCTCTGTAAATCGAACAAACGACGACATTTATATTTGGCCGTATGGATACAAATTCTTCGTTTTCTCAAAAATAAAAACAGATTTTTAAGAGTCCCCATATTCTTTATGTTTAGGATTAAATTTTCTGTCACGAACGAATACCAACCATAATGCTAAAGTTTTATGTAGTCATATGGATGAATGAATTTCACTCAAAAATCCAAAGAAGCGCTATTTTAGATCTAGTTAGTTCGTCCATGAAATACAGTACCATTGGACTAAGTTTTTTTTCAGAATTAAGGTTTTAGAATTAGGACATAGGGATGAAATTGTTTTACTTGTTATATACAATCTAAACACAACTGAGTAGTGGATAGGTTGAACACCATGCTAACAAAATTAACAAAATATCTCAATATTATACAAAAGTATTTCACAACTGTTTTAAGTCATCTTATAACAACTATTCTATAACCAATTTTGATTATGGTTACTTTTGGTTAAGCCCTTTTATTAACTTACTTAACAGACAATGTTATTAGAACAGTAGCAATTCGCATATTTCTTTGTACCGTTGTGGTGTGGGTTACTTATATCCACACAAGCAGTATATAACGGTGGTCAGGCACAGAATGTATTTCAGTAGAAGATCGAGCAGGAAAGAACGAGAACGGAACGCAATTGGTGTGAAAATGCATGAGCAATGAAATCTGAGACAATGGACTGATGTTTGCAAATATAACAGTCAAGTTTGAGACGATGGATTGATATTTTGCAAATTAACTATTTACTAAATGGTTCTCAGATTTTTGTGAGATGCTCTGTAATTGCGTGTCAAATATATTCGATTGTCCCCACTCGTGTTCTTGTTCACTACACCGTTATGACCACTAGACCATATGACAGACTCTAGCTAAACTGTTGATTACTTTATCCAATAAGACTCTAGAATCTTTTCATGTTAAAACTATAAATATACTAACGTTTATTTTATTATGCTTCTTACTTCCATCTACCCTTATTAGTTGGAATATAATTTCCTTCCTGTTCAACCGTGTTCTCATTTAGGTGTCCAAAAATAATAAGAAATAGGAATAGCTGGGTTGTAATAAGAGAGAATTATAACATTAATAAATAATTCGTTTTCGGATCCCTGAAAATTGTGCTGAAAAGCCTCATTTTGCCATGAATTAAATCTGGACTGCAAAATATATATCTTATGTGATAGGTGTGATTTCAAAATGATATAAAAATGTAGGTATTTAACTTGACTCGATGATGGGGTTTGAGGGGGGAAAGAACAATATATTTGGGGCGTCAAATAAAACCAATATACGAAAGATACAAATACATGAGATGAGTCTTCGGGAAACATAAACACCACTACTGAACGTATTGCATTATGAGCATTTAGATGACAATAAAACCTAGTGCTCCTTTCTTTCGTATATTAGATGAATTCACTTTACATTATTATTTATCAAACTGGAAATAACAAAACAGACAACTAAGAAATTAGGCATTTACTTGGTTGATTTTCTGTCATATTTTTACTTTGAGATTCATTTCTTAATTAAATAAAGTTTAAATTTGAGACCCTCGAAAATAAACCTCCCCCCCAAAAAAACCCATATTTCAATTGAAACAAAACTTTCGCAACTACAGGGCTTTAGTTGTATGAAAGAAGCTGCTATACGAAAAAGGTATACATTCAGAATTAGTATACAATAAACTATCACTGCAAAACATCTGACGTCAATACTGGTTGTAAAGCCTGGTCTAAAACCGTCAGTGATTGAACAAGAGCTTTAAGCACATGTGAGGAAAGTAAAACAGAGCAAAAATGACAAATCGTTTTGACTGATGAAGTTCGTATCGCTGAAATGACCAATAGGATATAGACATATAATTTATGAATCACAATGCTTAGAAAATCAGTTTCCTAAAGTTACCAAACACTAGATTAAAAACTGAAATGCACTCCAGTACACGTAAACTTACGTGAATAAACCAACTACTTGTGCATCCCACATAAAAGGACCACTCATTAAGTAAAGAAATAAATATTGTGTATCCGTCACACCAGAGATGGAAAACATGAAAATAATGATAATTATTACTATATGAGTACGAGGTAGTTTTGATATAATCTGAAAAGCAATTCAAAAGCACTTACATATAACTAAAAGGATTATATAAAATCATGAAAAAATATAGTGAGAAATATCTACACATACAAAGTTTTGAATCATTATCGTTCCGACTAATTACCGATCCAGGTATATTCACAGTTTAAATGACTTTCGAGATTGATAGTCGCTAAAATTAGATTATTAATAAAGACACGTACATAAAAATACTATCACTCATGATCATTCAGAAGGATCAATAGGTCTTGACTGTTTCTTAGATACGTATGTACTTGGATATAAACATGTCAGTTTCAAGAAAATGAGGTCAACTAAACGCATTTATTACTGTTTGTAACTGAAAGATTTATCAAACTTAGTTTTAAAAAATACTTAACTGAGTGGCGATGTATGTATACTCCAAACTCGAATTATTATTTAGAAAACCGTTAGTACATGTAAATCACATGGAGTTTAATTCCAAAGTTTAAGTGACATCATACGATGGTAAAATACCCGTTGTGTTCGGGTATATTTATCACACTTTACAAAGGTTATTTAAACAGCCAGATTAACATCCATATTTGTTATCAAAAACTTTAAAATAATTGTCCATTGAACACTGTTTGTTTTCAAGTTAACTATACGTGATTACTTTCTATTACCTGATAAGTAAGAAGTTCTGTACATAAAAGCACTATGAACGCGAACATTGTAGTAGCTTAATTTAATTATTATTATCATTTAGTCTATGAATTACTTTCTTAGAATTAGATGTAAAGATGATGAAGATAGGATCTGATGCTATGATCTGAACTAATAAGCTAATGCCACGTCAACTATACTGTCAACCAAATAATATTAATTAACCTTTTAAAATATTAACAGGAGGTTGTAATGCACTGAAAGTACAATGCATAATTTACAACAACTCTCTTACTTGTAGCTTATTCATACAGCTATTTTCAGATTGTACGTGGACTGAATAATTACTAGAGGACTCTTGATGCTTACTAGTTTCATTATGAACTGCTGGAGCTGTAATGCATAATTCATTGGATGAATTTTCAATATCTTCTGTCTGTTCAACTTGTATTGTCTTCACACTTGTTTCAGGTACGAGAAATAAAGTAATTACTGAAGGAATAAGAAAGGCTATACAAGTTAGCATTGTTATGTAGAAACGATAATGTTGAATCATGAAACCTGTAAAAGATAACAGAAACACCAATGTACATAAGATAAACACCCAGTAATAAGGGGAACAGAAAAAATTGTTTTGTTAATAATTTTACCTAGTCTACAGTGTTCGGTAGAAGCGGTTTAAACATTTACGATTACAGAAAACATTTATTTGCTATCGAGCTACCGATGAGCTTGTGTTATTCTGTCCTACAATAAACTTACAACTTAAATAGCTTTAAAGTAACAATACTGTTTTGCTGAATTATGCAATTTTATTTGTTAAATTTTAATCATAAACTACAGTGATAAAATCTAAAAAGTAACAAAACCGTGTTTAACATGATCGAGTAAATTAGTCATAGACAACGTAGAAAACGGCACAAATGCCCATACTTTCCATGTGATCACTGATTAAAAGAGGAACACATTATACACTAGTCCATAATAAGGAAAACTACCGTGAATTACCTAGTCAAAACTATATAATATATACATTATGTAATGGTTAGACTTTTTTCATGAAAAAAACTGTATTTCTAATCAATTATGAAACTACCGCTTGAAACGAAATACTTTGTAAAAATTAATACTGATTTAACATATGTTAAATTGTTACCTGTTAGTGCATTTGCAAATGCCATACCACAAGTGATTACACCATCGAGTAAAGTAAATAAAAACCAACGTTTTTTTACTAATCTTTTTGCCTGAGTTACTGAATCCATATTTTCATTGGATATTACTACTATTTCATTAGGTGATTTTTGGGTTAGATCAGCTATACAAGCAAATAATTGTGCTGAAATTGATAACAATCCACCGCCAATAGATCCTTCTAATAATTCAGATACAATCAAACTCCAGGGAGAAAAATTGAAAAATACGATAATACCTTTAACAGGCATAGAAAAATAAGTAATAAGAGGAGCCGGTCAAATATAATTACGTATAACTTATATTGTTAGATTTCTTCATATGAGGATGAGTGAGAATGCTGATTGCAAAAGAGTGACACAGATGCTGTTGTTGTCTTTCAATACAATATAGTTGAAAAAGGGTAAGAAAGATGTTCGGTGCGCATTTCTAGACCATACTTCTGCCTTTGACCCTATGCCATGACAACTAGTACTTAACAAGTTTGTCAAAATCAACACTGAAAGCTGGATAACCAACTGGCTGTGTTTCTATCTCTCTGGAAGAGAACAGTACACTGTGTTTGGAGAAAAGTGTTCAACATCTCTACTAATTCATGAAAGTGTTCCACGAGGAGCGTTTCTTTACCCTGTTCCTTTCTCTGTTTTCCTGCATGACCTGCTATTTCCCACAGGAAGCACTTTTGTTGAATATGCGGACGATCTCGATATCTACCTCTCCACATCCACTTGGAATGAATGAGTTCTTGTCTCTTGTTGAACGATAACCTGTTGTCGGTGATCGCACACTTAACCCTTCTGAATGTCAAAGTGTTAAATTTATTCTGGGGCACGAACAGCACTCAAACACCCCTTTGGAATCCTATAACGCTTTCACTGCTAGAGATTCTGTAGTGAAAACCGTGTCAATGGTCATTTATCTTGGTGTGAATTTTTCCTCTGGTCTTTCTTGTTCTTCTTATGTTTTAGTTATCGAAGAAAGTTTGCCATCTGACTTATTATATAAAGGGGCTGCATTTACTTTTGCGATTTCTTAGTACCTGCATAATACTATTTTTATACTGCTCCCGATTATACTTTCCCAGGTTTTTGAGAAAAGATTTCAGTGTATTGCGGGGAGTGCGGAAGGCAGTTAGCAAAGTGTGTGAATCGTTTTAAGTCATTATTAATATGGTTACGGATAGATATTTAAAATCTTGCAAACCCCTAAGAAGTGTTATCAAATAGTAACCACCCACTTTATTCATATCGTTCTCCTTGTATACCTCCTAGTAAAACAAGGCGCAAAAATGCATTACAGTCGATGCACTCAAGCAAAGGCATAAAAGCTCTACAATGCCTTATCTAGCAAATATACTGTGATAAACAAGTTGTTAGAGTTCAGCTAGTCAATAACTTGTATTCTTAAACATGTTTCTAATTAAAAAGTTGTGCAGATCTCAATCTTAATAAAAAGCATTTCATTTAATTCTCAGTAGTTTATTTACTTAATTTATGTTTATGTGTATCCAGTTATCACCTTTTGTTGTAAAAGGAACCTGTTAAAATACCTTTTGCTGAGAATTCTATATTCTACTACGCATATAATACTGAATAAAGCCATTAATAATAACAAACGGAAGGTAAGTGAACAATTTTCACTAAGTGTTGAATGATTATAAAAAAAACTGGTTGTTAAATGTCTAATGTACGATAAACATAAGGTCAAAATGTGGTAGTCTGTAAGTTAGACAAAAATGATGGTCCTTTAACACTAGTGCCATCAGTGATGCATTCTGAATGGCACATCCTCTTCTTTAGGCTCGAATGGTTATGTTAGAAATGTCCCGACTTTGACTGTTAGCTTGTGTGACTTATTGTGTTGTAATTGCTTGTGTACGATTGTGAATTTTTTTTCTTTCCACTTAATCGCAATATACTATTAGTCCTTTTATTTCAGTACTAATAAAGAGATTTTCGTTCCGAAAGCAATTAAATGACTATATCTCTAAGGTACTTGTAAACGTATACGGGCCCCAACAACTGTATGCATAATTAAACACATATGGTAGATTTGGAAAGTTCTCCAATCCGTACTTTGAATTAATTTGAACTAGGTGATGATAATAAGTCAACTTCGTTTGATTTGTTACGATAATTCACCTTAATTATAAAGGTGTTAAAGATTCTTGTTAATTGCTGGGAAAAAAGGAAGTGTTTTTTTACAGATTAGTCAGTTATTCCAATCTTTTGAAATTTTAATCAAACTGTTGCATGATATATTCAGTCTAAAAAGATTCCAGATTTTCCTGAATAATACATGTGAAAATTAATCTAAACAATTAACATTGTAGGACACCATGGTATTTTGAATATCAAAGTATTGCACACCTAAGTTAGCAATTTTCAATGACGGTAGTAAAGTGGTAGGTTAACTGTTTAATTTACTTATACAATCAAGAGGTGATGCTTATCAGAAATATGTGATATATATGAGCAATACATTTAGAACGATCTAATCACATATACACACGTTAAAGCATTTATGTACGACAAATAAACACTAACTCGACAAATCAAAAGATAGGAGAAAAACGAAGATAATAAGGAAACCAATGTGAATCACACTATTGAATAATAAATCAATATTACCAGAGCAGTTTCGATGTGAGTGCACATTGTTTTTGAACACACAAGAGGGGTTTGAAATCCCATACAGTTAGGTCATCAACAAACCTAAGTACCCGACCCAGACAATTTTTATACGAAAGCACAAAGGCTGAGTTAAGATCAATCTGCTCGAAATGGGTCGGTTGAATTAATTTGTTTCTATAGCTATTTTGGTATATTTTCAGCCACCCTAACTTACAAATCGTGTGTGGACATGAATATGTGAAAAGGATAACTAATTAACTTTGAAGTGGTTTAATCCACTTAGTTCATAATATACTACTGATAAGCGTACGGTAATTTTACCAATAGAAAGTCTGCTTTGACAGATTTAAACATAGGTTCACTGAAAACTAATCATAGTATGTTTCGAATGTCTACATGCTGTAACATCACTGAAATAGGCAATGACTTCTAGTAAATTCATGCACGACCCAATCTGTAACAAAATAAAGAAAAATAATTTAAGAGATTTATTGTATAACCTACCAAGAGCTAAAATTCGTAAAGCTTCTCCTAATATTATAATTCCCAACGTCAATTGCCGACCATAATTATCTGATAGGTAACCAATGATTAGTGTTGAGAAAATTCCAGTCCCAATACCCAGAAAATTTTTAAGAGACTGTATAAAAGCAGCTTTCTTTTGTGCAGCTTGCAGTCCATCCGTACTAAAAACAAACCAAATAAATCGAAATCGTACCACTGATTTTGTGTCAAACATAAAAGTATTTCTCTGGAAGATTCCTGGAAAATCCCGTAAAAGCTTTTAGTAATAAATACATTTTTTGTTATATCCCAATGAGTAGACAAATTGTATTTCTGGCCTTTCGTGACTTTATGTAATGGACTAGGCGAGATAACCATCTCACAACGGGGGAGCGTGTATACTGTTCAGCAGTTTGCTCGATTCTACTTTACGGCTGTGAAACATGGTCTATGAAGGCAGAAAACATGCACGGACGGAAGGTACTTGACCATAGGTATTTTTAAAGCATTGCTCGCATTTTTGGAATGACCGAGTGAGAAATGTTGAGGTTGGGCATAGCTTACTTACTAAAGGTTGATGAGGCAGTGGATCCCCATCAACTGAAGATGAAACATTTATCTAACTGCCATCTACCACGATGAGTTAAGCTAAGGCCAGAAAGACAAAACGTGACATCAGTTCACATAATTATGCAGTATTTGTATGATCCATGTTGGTAGATGCAGACTACCTCGTTGAGGTCCGCGTGTTATTCACGATCAACAGATAAAGAATGGACGACAAAGTTCAGAATCAATCACAATGATGTAAGTGCATTCACTTTTTATATTCCTCTTGATCTTAAATTTCAGTATCTCTTTATACATACCTTTCCATTGCCTTTTAAAACTATGTTACAAACGCCCACACTTTCTTTTTACTATCGATACTATATTATTTTGATCTATTTTGCTAGCTTTATCTCATCGCGTTAATCTAGAATGGTAGCTTGGTCAGTCCATATCTGCACCAATCTCTATGTTGATGACATTTAAGTCTGCTGACTAATGAGTTTTAAAAAGTATATGACGAAATAAGTAGCTAAATGTATGAATTAGATTTTCATAAGTTTTGCGACAAGTGCAGAATTGCTGATATTGAAATTCAAAACATGAAACAAATCCAAGGTATTAATGAAAAGAGCCTATCTATTTTTATGATCAGAATAAAAATGAATTCAACGCCATACTTCATTAGTGCATGTTTACAAAAGCGTCCTTGGGTGTAACAGTTTGGATCATTTCGTTGTTGATATTTTAACTGAAATGTGATCAGTGTTTTTGGGATTTATATATCTTGTACATATTATCTTGATACAACCATCATGCCACATGTTTTCCACATATTTTACCTCTGTTGGCCAAAAAGAGATTTCGACAGTGACCTTGAGAATCTAGAAACTAATGAGCCTCTGAGCGGTACTATACGGTTAAGAAGAACAATGATTTATCATTATGAAGATATGTCAACCATATTACTGGTAGATAAGAATAATATGATGTTACACTGATAAGAAAAATTTTGAACATGGATATATCTAATAGATGAGTTTATTATCAAGATACTGAAAAAAATATTTGTTATCTATACACCATGTTTTGAGAAAAGATAATTGTTCAGGGTGATTAAACACTTGTTGGATGCAAGTGCTACAGTCAGAGTGGGAATCTTCATCACAAGATTGTATAGGCTGAAGTGTCTTTAAAAAACAGAGACCACAAAACAACTGTCTAGTCTTTATTTAGGATGACTCAAAAGCGCTTTCGTTTAGCCATTTTTCAAAGAGGATATCCCACAGAATTTCAGCTATCGTGAAAATTACATTAATATCCAGAGGTAAATTAAATCTCATTAGTTTTCATCTTTTAACATCAGTCAATTTGCGATATAATGAGAGGATATCAAGATCAATCACGTGAACCCTTGGGAAATGCTCTGAAAATACCCCATTGTGCATTTTTTATTATTCATATTCAGACTCACACGTCACTTTTATTTACCAACCAATAATCAATTCCTTGTTCAGACAGACAACTGTAAAAAAATAAACAATAGGATAAAACAAACGGCTTAAAATCTACATAAAGCATATCTCAATATTGACAATATTAACTCAATTTTTAATGGTTTGGATAACACGTTGGCTTTTGAAGCGAACGGTACTAGGTTCGAGATCCAGAGCATCAACTCTGAGATTCAAGTATATTCAGCTGACGAATCCTAAATAGAACGTAACAAGTGTCCTGGATTCCGCTGCTAGCCACATTTCATCTAGTTTACAATACTAGTTAAAAGTTGTCATCGTTTTTCTAATAGATACAGCAGTTAAACCAAATCGAGTTGAAGACTATGGATCTAGTGAAATAATACGATTTGATACATGATCCAAATGATATGTGACTGAATCAAAACAGAAGTATTTTAATTCCCATGTTCGATTTAATGTACATCAAGTCCTCTATTTAGAATGTAAATTAAAAATTGATGGCAAACATTAATTGAAGTGAAATAAATCTCATCACGATTAGTTACATGCTATTAGACTGTAAATCAGTACTTTCTACTAATCATTTATTTAAACTGCCTTGATTGATTTAATATTCTCATATATCCATGTAAATATTATCGTATATCAAGGCCTAATGAACGTCTAATTGTAAACAATATTGTTCACTTATGTTTTTTTTTCTGAAAACATACTAAATCATACGAAAATTAATTTTTAAAAACTATAAAATAATACGAACGTCTAGATTTAAGTTGATTTACAGATATCCATAAACGTTCAACAGTATTTAGATCATATTTACAAGCATAAGATGTATAATCCAGTCAGTTTATAAAGATAGTATGAACTAGCTCTTAAAGAATAGAGCAATATAATTTTAAAGGAAAATTCTCGCCGAATTCCTTTAATTCATTATTAAATGAAACTTTATTTTACGTTCATGAAGTAATGTGTTTCTAGTAAACTATCCCAGCGCAAGAAAGTTTCAGACTAAACAGACTGAGCACAGTAATAACAGATGAATGTACCTAATTTTAAAATCTGACTAATAACACTTTTCCGTACAACTATTAATTTTACTGACAAAACGACGTTAATTCAAACTTTTCATTACTATCAAGTCTATAAGGTAGGCTTGTACATGCATATCACGGTCATAATAGTTTAAATAGTGTCTTCCTTAATATCAAAAAGCGTATGATTCAAACCCTTGCTACTATTGATCTAAATATCATACACATTAAACAATTTAATAGTCATCTGGAGTCAGTAGCTCAGTGAATAAAAAGCTAGATGTTCAAAAGGAAAGGCGATGGATTAAAGCCCTCGCGTAAATATAAGCAGGGGTTTGAAAGTGGATCCAACTGACGAGTCCCAGATAGGGTGAAACATGCGTCCTGGGTTTCACTGCTAGCAACAAGCCATTTACTCTATATAACTTGTGACAAAATGACTATATTGAGGTGATCCAGACAGGATGTCAAAAGTCAGTCTCTAGTACCAAGGCCTTATCACTAACGATATAACATTATTTTGTTCATTGATCACTACATTGTTGGCTGTTTTGTGTGTCTGATGCCAGTAACACAGATACTAAGATCATCAGAACTCGATGCACCTTAGAAAATCAATGAAACATGAAGATTTAATACGTGAATTTTATTTTTCATGTAGGACGAAAGCCTAAGTTATTTCTTTAATTTTATGTCACTGATTGTTTAACAATGTATCTTGTCATTAAACGACCTAGGAAATTCAAATAAAATATATAAGGCCTAAAAGGTAACAACACTATGGAAACTTCTTCGACACTACGGCGTGCCTCAGAAGATAGTCAATATCATGGAGAGTTCATATGATGGATTACACTGCAAAATCGTGCATGGAGGACAGTTGACAAAGTCGTTCGAAGTGAAGACCGGTATCAGGCAAGGTTGCTTACTCTCACCCTTTCTCTTTCTCCTGGTGATCGACTGTATCATGAAGACGTCAACATCTGAGGGGAAGTATGGGATACAGTTGACAGCTTGAATGCAGCTGGACGATCTAGACTTCACAGATGATCTGGCCCTTCTATCGCACACGCAACAACAAATGCAAGAGAAAACGACCAGTGTAGCAGCAGTCTCAGCAGCAGTAGGTCTCCACATACACAAAGAGAAAAACAAGATTCTCCGATACAACACAGAATGCACCAATCCAATCACAATTGACGGAGCAGGTTTGGAAGATGTAAAAGCCTTTACATATTTGGGCAGCATCATTGATGAACACGGTGGATCTGATGCAGATGTGAAGGCGCGGATCGGCAAAGCAAGAGGAGCATATTTACAACTGAGGAACATCTGAGACTCAAAACAACTGTCAACCAACACCAAGGTCAGGATTTTCAATACAAATGTCAAGACAGTTCTACTGTATGGGGCGGAAACCTGGAGAACTACGAAAGCCATTATCCAGAAAATACAGGTGTTTATTAACAGTTGTCTACGCAAAATACTTCGGATCTGTTGGCCGGACACTATTAGCAACAACCAACTGTGGGAAAGAACAAACCAGATCCCAGCGGAGGAAGAAATTAGGAAGAAGCGCTGGAAGTGAATAGGACGCACATTGAGGAAAGCCCCTGACTTTGTCACAGGACAAGCCCTCACATGGAATCCTGAAGGCCAAAGGAAAAGAGGAAGACCAAAGAACACATTACGCCGGGAAATGGAGATAGACATGAGAAAAATGAACGGGAATTGGATGGAATTAGAAAAGAAGGCCCAGGACAGGGTGGGTTGGAGAATGCTGTTCGGCGGCCTATGCTCCATTAGGAGTAACAGACGTAAGTAAGTAAGTAAAAGGTAATACCAGTTTTTAAAAAAATAAGAGCATAATAATGTCTAAACATCACTATGATAATTACTGGATGCGTTTTAATCTGAAATCTGACCATTTACAAGGAAATTCATTACTATTTGGTGCGATGTAGATTACATGAAATGCTTTTACAGTTAATAAAAAATTGGCGTGATTTATAAATCAGAAGGGGTTTTGTGGAGATTGTAGTAATTTCAACAATTGAGATCATGAGTCAATTGAATCAAGACCACCATGGAAAACCTGGAAGCACTGGAAGGCCGTTTCGTCCTATCGTGGGACTCCTCAGCAATGCGCATCCACGACCCCGCCTCACGGGATTCGAACCCAGGACCTATCAGTCTCGCGCCAGGCGCTTAACCACTAGACCACTGAGCCGGCATCCAACGGTGTTAATGTCTAACTTCAACTAATCCACGAAATTGAGCCACACATCCACCATTATCATAAATGAGTTACTATCTCACAAATGACCTGGTTGAACTCCACTGGTCATTGCTTCTCACCAGAACTCCAGGATATAACTCTTGAAGCCAGTCACTAGTGAGCATATGTTGATTCGTATCAGAAGGGGTTTTGTGGAGATTGTAGTAATTTCAACAGTTGAGATCATGAGTCAAATTCAGTTTATAGGTGCTAATAAAGTGAAATGAATTTGCACCCATACAAATGCGAAAGATTTATATTATTCTTGGGATTTAAAAAAATATGTAGTGCATATGATAAAACCTAAAAACAAAATTGAGAAACTGTAATCCTGTTTTCCAGGTCCACGTTTCAGGCTGCATCGGTGGTGACAGAATGTATTTTGTAAATTCACCTCAGAAAAATTCGGAACCAGAGAACGAAAAAACACAGAATCATACTTGCGAACAGTAACAAATACAGCCAAATTTATCGATCAGTACAGTAAAAGGCCTCAGATACTGCTACAAATCCAATCCAAATTAAAATTATAGCACCAAGCTCATATCAGCTGATCCACATCACTTATCGATTTTAGTAGTTCATGCTATGTCCGAAGATTAAACTATGGGCGAATTCGAGAAATTATTTATGGACTGTTATTATAATGTTCATATATTCTTATTGCATAAATATTAAATAACCAGATTATATCTATATTTCCCTTATTATAAGTCTATATTTGACCAATTGGCTACTATTATACGATTTACTATTCTTAAGTTATTCCCAGATTTTTTAGTTACAGCCTCTGACACTTGTATTATAATTCGCTTTCATTTTATAGTGTGATGAGATCTGGTCTGCCTGTATATAAACCAAGTGTCCGAAATATACAGAGTCTGGTGTTTGTGTTCTGGACTAAACCAGGCGGGAGTGGACGAGGTGCTACCACACAGAAGACCAAAAAGGATTAAAAGTTGACTCAAGCCTGGTCGTGCTGGTTGACGCATCACTGGTTTAGCACAGGGACAACGTCATACAAGTCATTTTGATTGATTATTTTGTCACGTGATATTCGACGGGCCATATGACATATCAGTTTACTTGGTAGATAAACAAAAACGTAAACTGAAGTAGAATATAAATCAGGTAGCGAATCTTCGTTTTTTCAAAGATTAATACACAGGGCTCGGAGACTCCGAGAATCATCCAATAATTATGAAATAAGTACGTGAACATTTTATTGCGCTTCTGGTTGTTAGCTTGTTGAGCAAAAAACGAAATGATATTGATAAGAATACGAACGATGATAACTGGTCACTAAAATTCCAAGAATGAATATACACGAAAATCTATGTAACAAGACGGGATATCAGTAAGTTATTAAAGATAAAACTTACACTAATTGTACTGTCTTACCTGTAGTAAACAAACTGGTCACTTATGAAGAATGACATACATACAGAAATGAAAACAGATAGTGCCAGAACGTCAAGATTTAAAATGACTTTTGTTTCGTTAGAAATGCGCATCTTCAGCCTACATACAACGGACCTAAAAGAGAGAAGAGCTGTACGTTTCTTGGAGAAATTTCTACTGGCCTTAAATCAATATACATCTCATTTTAACAACAAATGGTAATGAGTATTGAGTTACTCATTACCATCATTTTGCCTTTGATTTCACGCTTCTCTAGACAATTAGTTCGCATAAAAATTGTACAAACTTTTGAAATGAATTAATACGTGAATGAATGTTGTATCAATAGCGGTGTGAAAATAAAATTTCTTTAGTTATTTAAAAAACTTTCAATGAAAAGATACAATGAGTATAAATGGCACATGGAATATTATGGGACTAGAATTGTTTTTGACTGCTTGGTAATATAGTGCGCGTAAAATCCGAAACCGGAAAATGAGGCACATTCAAATGTGAAGTGACAATCCGGTCAACTACATAAAGTTTCAATGTCCTTCAGTTAGAATAATCTCTCTTTATGATTAATGGTACTAAAGTTACAAAACCAAGAGGAGAGAAGGTTATATAACTGCTCAAAGATCTGAGAATTCGAACGGTAAAATGCAGGTTTATAGCGGATTGATATTGGAGAGATAGCATAACTATTCGTGTTAAAGGTTTTCGGATTCGCTAGTGTATTGACATATTGCACAAACTCGATGTCTTAAAAATTTCAGTTACTTTCTCGGCAACGAGCGTAGTGCATCCAGAGACACTTAGTAAGTCCAAGAAGCATAAAGAGCACATTTAAAATAACCATAAATAACAAACTTATTAACTAGGAGGCCAACTACACACGACAATATAATAATTATTCCCGATCTTATTTTACGTTTGAAACTGAGGAGATATTGATAGTGCCTAGGAACTTTCTAAAAAAAATCCACAACACCAGTTAGTAGGTAGGTTCAATAAATAAATCGTTTGACCCAGTAAAGCGCACGAAACTGTGAATGTAATTGAATTGGTATTTAGTAAAATATTTGCCTGAAGTCATCAAGATCAAGGTTAAGCTTGGCGTCATACAAGGATACGCAGCGGGCTCAAATAAACGTTTCTAATCCCTGAAAAAATCAGGAACAGTAATGTTACTTTCTCACCTACACCCTAAATGGGAACCACTATATAGTGAGTTATTTATATCAGGGTGGTGTACTAGACGTTAATTATGTTATTCCCAGTACATTAAGACTGGTGAATGCTTTTCAGTTTCATTACCTATTCCAGAATCAGTTGGAAGCATCAAGCGTTGTAATCCCAAATATAAGATATACGAATGACATACGAATTAAAAAACCACCGTTTGTAATAAACAAACGCAGACGAAGCATAATGAGATGCTATCCTAAATACTATCAAGAACGAGATCAAAAGAATAGTTTAATGATAGTTTGGCAGGACTAAAGGTTGACAGCGTTCACTTCGACGCTAATCTGTAGAACGAGTACAAATTACTGATATTCTGAAACATCCTGAAAGACCTTCAACTCAGGGTTGTTGGCGGAAGTTTGTATTTATTGTGGCTATATTTTAGACGACGAAAACAATTTGGGATACATGATATTCCTGAACCTGATTGGGAATGATAGATTTTGTTACCAACTTAAAGTTACCACAAGGTATATAAGGCTTAGAACTAACTAGACATATTGCTAAAGAGTTCCGCTTCTATAACACCTTAATAGTTAGGCTGATGGTGTTCGTCAATTGTGCCGTATAGTTGACCACTTAGTTAATAAGTTTGTTATTTATGGTTATTTTAAATGTGCTCTTTATGCTTCTTGGACTTACTAAGTGTCTCTGGATGCACTACGCTCGTTGCCGAGAAAGTAACTGAAATTTTTAAGACATCGAGTTTGTGCAATATGTCAATACACTAGCGAATCCGAAAACCTTTAACACAAATAGTTATGCTATCTCTCCAATATCAATCCGCTATAAACCTGCATTTTACCGTTCGAATTCTCAGATCAGTGGGACTATAATTTATGGACGAACCAATCAGATTTACGATAACAGGTCTTAGCACCTGACACTTCACACTCGTTAGGCCAAATTAAACCCCTTTTCGTTGTTTGATGAAGTCAGTATCCCATTTTGCATTTATCGTGAAAGAATCACAGCGACGTAAGGAAAGGTAATATTAATTTATCCTCTCTAAAGAGAAAATAATAAAATATAAGCCGACACTCCGATATACACAAAAAATGCTTTACATTTATCAAGAAATAAAACCCAAAACACTCAGAAATGACGCAAGTGTGCAACTAAGACAATCTGACAAACGATGCTAAATGTTTTAGGTTTCGAAAAGTTTACGTATGACTTAAGGTCACGTTATAACCTTTCGTTCAATTTCTTCGAAATAGGTTGGTGCCAACAAGATAATTTCTTTACCAACCCCTCTTATTGTAACAGTGTAATCAAGCACTGAAGGTCTTTTCACTAAAGTATAGAACTTTCAGTTTATTTAAGTCATTGTGACTTGAGTGAAAATGAACTCAGTTACTGTAGACCATTGAAACTGTTGGAATCAGAGCTACCATATTACCATTCAAAATAGTTACCTGGTTGTAATACATTGGATTGTCGAGAAACTACTAGAAGGCAGTGCCAAACAGAATTAAACAAATTGATTGCCCAAGCAGTATGAATTATCAAAGAGTTAGCTTAACGATCTGTAGTGACTCACGTTTATCACGAGAACACGACTGGTTTAATAAAAACAATTATTATTATAACCAACTGTACCAGTGTTTGTTTTAACGTGCTTTTGTTTGACTGTGCTAATGACAGCTATTTTCTGCTTCCATTGTTTCGCTTACACTTCGATTGTAACTTCGCGCGAATTCGGTTACGTTCTGTAACCAAGCTTGTATCCTGGCACGATCTCGGTATCCTTTCGATGCCACGAGATCGCCAGCAAATAAACATCGACTTGGTCCATTAACTGCCTTCTGGTATTCGGCTTCTCGGGGATTTTATGGATCTATTTGGTTACGTCCAACCCTCGCCTTCTGATTTATCTGGCACGTGTTTCTTGGTAGCGGTGTTCACAGTTAATCTTCAACTCGACGCCACGCTACAATTGGTGATCCCAAAGTTTGGAACACGCCTCAACTTCTGATCAAATCTTCCAAAGAAGCCAATTCGGTGAGTCTATGATTTATCTATCCACGTCTGTCGTATATTTTCATATTTTTAATATATAATATACGCGACATGACGGATAACGATAAGAATAGTATTAATATAATAGACTCACACGTATGTGTACCGAATCCTTGTCACTTTTTATTCGCGTGATGATGAATTCCACGCTTTATTCGAGAAATGTTACCCTATTAACGATTCTCCTCGCTGACCCGGCTGCTTGGTACGGAATGCATACGCATAAGCATATCCGTCTACCACCCAGCACCAAATGGTTAAGTTGAACGGTTTTACTGCCAACTTAAAAGTGTTCTACGAGCACACGAAAACGGCAACTGGCACGAAACCATACCGCTCGTTCTTTTAGGGGCGAGAACGAGCTTAAAGGCAGATATCCAATGTTCCGCCACTGAACTTGTATACGGCACGACATTGCGTCTGCCCGGAGAATTCTTCACACCACGGAGCAGACCTAATTTCGGTAAATCAGACTACGTCCATCGACTGTCTGCATTTATGCGAACGCTGTCTCCGGTGTCAACTCGAATACAACATCGACAGGTCGCTCTCCCTCGAGAGTTATCTACCTGTTCACATGTTTTTGTACGAGTAGATTCGGTACGCAAACCTTCGCAACAACCTTACGAAGGCCCTTTTCACGTGATCGCTCGTCACGAAAAGACCTTCAAGGTTGATCGATATGGACGCGTCGAGATCGTCAGCATTGATCGTCTCAAACCAGCACACGTCGATGACAGTGCCCTATCTGACAACCTGAGATTCAATGCTAGACCTAGCAAACCTACTAGCGGGATCCTCAAATCATCTTCAGGTCCCACGCTAGATACATCTGAGACCTCATTCTCACGTCCCAGTCAACAGCACGCGTCATCTGCGCCGTCTACGGACGAGACGACAGTCTCACGTCCAGATCAGCAGACCACGCCGCCCTTGACTTCGGATGAGATTGCAGGCTCACGCGACGCGAACGAGACTGCCGTCTCACGTTCCGGTCGCCGAGTACGATTACCCGTACGCTTCCGCGAAAAGTCGCACAGTCAACAACCGATACGGTGTAGGGTTAGTCCTATACTACACGTATGCTACACTCTTCTTTTTTTGATTTTCTTTTTGTTTCCTGAGCCCACGCCTTCGACCATCCCCGTTTGGTTCCGTCGACTCCAGTCAACTTTGGCGAAAGCTGGCCTGATCACCCATGCTCTTGTCAACGTACTCAGTCGATATATTGGTTTCGAATGCTTGGCATGTGCTTGGTCTCGAACATGGTCGTTATGGTCGCTTCTGGTTCATCGGCTCAACGTGGTTTCGTCCTTCGTCTGCAGCGTTTCTGGTCCGGACCCGTACGAACGCCCTCTTCAGATTCTGGATACAAACCACTCTGGTGTAGCATGCCAATTCAAGCAATAAATACAACACATCGCTCCTGGTACCGTTCTCCGATAACGACCTTCGTTGGCAACTCGACGATCAACGATCGCTTTCCTGTTCGCCAATTCTTCCGTCCTACAATCGCTCATCAGCCGATCAGTCCCACGATTCAAACCGCTATTTATCGAAAGTGTAAACCCTTTCTAGCGGGGGGCTCCTGTAGTGACTCACGTTTATCACGAGAACACGACTGGTTTAATAAAAACAATTATTATTATAACCAACTGTACCAGTGTTTGTTTTAACGTGCTTTTGTTTGACTGTGCTAATGACAGCTATTTTCTGCTTCCATTGTTTCGCTTACACTTCGATTGTAACTTCGCGCGAATTCGGTTACGTTCTGTAACCAAGCTTGTATCCTGGCACGATCTCGGTATCCTTTCGATGCCACGAGATCGCCAGCAAATAAACATCGACTTGGTCCATTAACTGCCT